CAACGTCCTCCACAACTAGACTGAAGAACAAAATGACAGCAACTTGTCTGTTCCCCTTCCCCCAATTCCCCAGCGCTGTTCCCAGCCCCCCAATTCCCCAATTTAAAAAAAAAAGTGATTCATCTACCCCCATTACAATATTAGAGTGTTTTGAATTTAACTATATATTTGCCTTTACCAGTGGGTTTTATGCTTTCATATATTTTCATGTTATTAATTAGCATCCTTTTGTTTCAACCTGAAGAAGTCCCTTTAACATTCCTTAAAGGCTAGTCTAATGGTGATGAACTCTTATAACTTTTGCTTGGGAAACTGTCCTTCAATTCTGAAGGATACATTTCTGGGTAGAGCATTCCTGGTTGGCAGTTTGTTTTTTTTCTTTCAGTACTTTGAATATATCATTCCACTCTCTCTGGCCTTAAGGTTTCTGCTGAAAAATCTGCTTGTAGTCTTATGAGAATGTCCATGTGTAACAAATTGCTTTTCTCTTGCTGGTTGTAAGATTTTCTCCTTGTCTTTAATTTTTGACAATTCAATTATAATGTGTCTTGGTGTACGTATGTCTATTTAGATTTACCCTCTTTGGTATTCTTTGGGCTTCCTGGATCTGGATTTTTATTTCTTTCCCCAGGTTTGGGAAGTTTTCAGCCAGCATTTCTTTGAATAAGCTTTCAGCCCCTTCTCTCTTCTCCTTCTGGGACCTCTATGATGCGCATATTTGTCCCCCTGATGATGACACATAAGTCTCTTAAGCTTTGTCTATTCTTTTGCATTCTTGTTTCTTTTTGTTCCTCTGATTGGATAAATCCCACTGCTCTGTCTACAAATTAGCTGATCCTTTCTCCTGCTTGATCTAAACTGCTCTTGAACCGCTCCACTGAATTTTTTAGTTCAGTTATTGTATTCTTTGGCTGTATGATTTATGTTTGGTACTTTTAAAATATTTTCTATCCCTTGTTGAAGTTCTCTCTTTGTTAATGCCTTGCTTTCCTGACCTCAGAGAGCATCTTTATGGCCCTTATTTTGAACTCTTTATTGGGTAAATATCTGATCTCCATTTCATTAAGATTAGTTTCTGGAGATTTATCTTGTGCATTTATTTGGAACATATTCCTTGTTTCTTCATTTTTTTTTCTTAACTCTTTGTGTTGGTTTCTGTGCATTAGCTAAAACAACCTAGTCTTGACAGATTTGTCTTGTGTGGGAGATCAGTCAGCTCCATGTAGGTTCCTGGTTGTCTCTCAAACCTTTGTGATCATCCAAGCTGCTCTCTTTGCTCTTAGTTGCTCCCAGTAGTTGAACATGTTTCAAGACCTGTCAGTGTCCCAAAGGGGGGGGGGGGGAATCTCAGCCAGCACCTGGATGCAAGCTGATTTGACGCTGTACTCTCTAGCAACAGCTGGGAATGTATGTAGTTAAGCCCCTTCCAGGAAGAAACCAGGAGATGCATGTTTTTACCTGCTCCATCTGGACTGAGCCCAAGTGGTGGATAGCCTCTGGGGGTGATGGGGGGAGGGAGAGGACTAAGGTGGGGGGAAATGGTTCTCCTGCACACATTTAAAAACTGCTTCTTTGTTTGTGGTCGCCCAGGGGCTGAGGGGGTGCTTTCGATGGTGAGGTGCCCAGGGAAAAGAAAGCATGCGGAGCCGAAAGACAGGAGGAGGAACCAGCTAGCTCGCCTGCTCGCTGCTTTATTCAGCAATAGCAACCATTATGTAGAGGTTTTGGGGTAGGAGAGCGCACAGAAGTGGCGTGCGCCTTCCCGTGGCTGTGAGTCATGCTTACGTACAGGGCTTATGTCACTGGAGCCCGGCGCCTATGCAGCAGGCTCTGAAGTCAAGGTTTGTTATGTCTGGGGCCAGGGTCCATGCGTCAGCAGCCCCCACTTGTGTGGGTCCTGACCTTGTCCGGGGTCAGTGCCCGTACATCAGCCTGCACACAACTGACTCAGCCCGGGCCCTGTCAAGTCCTATGGGACTGTGAATGTAAGCTCCATTGGTTATCAGAGCCAGACAATCCAGGGACCCGTCCCTCAGTTGGCAGTCACAAAACTTGGGGTGCCAGATGTGTAGGTAAGCTTCTAGAGATGTTGGCAATCTGGCTTTATCATTGGAGCACGCCAGAGTAAGAAGGTGGAGTACGATCCCCCAGACTCTGAGGAGGATCCAGCAAGCCCCTACATGCATGCTAAATCAGAAGCCAGACCCTCAGGCAGCAGCTTGTGCAGTGTGCAGTCTAATCCCTTCTAGGAAAAGACTAGGAGTTGGGCGTCTTTGCCTGCTCCCTCGGGGCTGATCCCTGTGGGAATAGCCACAGCGGAGTGCTCACACATCCATTAAAAACTGTTTCTTTGTTTGCTATAGTTTTGTGTGCCTCATGGACACAAGCCCAGTTGGCTTTCAGAGCTAGGTGTTTGGGGAGCCCATCCCTTGGGTGGTTGTCTTAAAAGTTGGGGTTCTAGATGTGCAGTCCAAACCCTTCATTCCTCAGGGAGAAGCTGGGAGGTGGGAGTTCCCTCCCTATTGTGTTGTGCTGTCCCAGGGATGAACTTAATGGCGACAGTGTGTCTCAGCCTTTTCTATCTATTTCAATGTGGGTATTTTCTCATTTGCTTAATGTGGAAGAGTCACCCAGCTAATTTCTGGATTTCTTTCAGAGGGAATTGCATTGTGTGTAGCTGTATATTCAGTCCATCCAAAGGAGGACGGAAGTTCAAGAGCCCCTATGTTGCCATCTTGGTCCTTCCTCAGCATTTTTACATCTTTATTTTTTTCAGAAAGAACTAGAGAAACAGAAGAGAATTCAGAGGAACCAGCAGCTGGAAGCAATAGCCAAAAATCATTATGAAAGTGTGTTGCTAAGAAAAAAAGGTCTGGAGCCCTGGAAGAGATTGAGAATGCAAAGCAAGCAAAACATCCAGGTATAGTGTCACACTCTTACCACCCAAAATTAGAAAATGGATTTTTCAAATAGGCTAAACACCCAGTTAGGTTTTGGGGGTTGTTTGGTGTTTAAAAGCCAGAAAGATAAATGAATTGAGTGTTTGTATTTATTTGTTTTGGATAAGAGTTTAGATTTGGTCTTCCAAGATAGAGAAAGAGTTCTATAATTGAATAGATTGGGAAAACTAGAGTAATTTTTTTTTTAAAGATTTTATTGGGGAATTGGGAGAGGGGAACAGTGTTGGGGAATCGGGGAAGGGGAGCAGACAAGTTGCTGTCCTTTTGTTCTTCAGTCTAGTTGTGGAGGACATTGCCTCACTGGCCCATGTTAGTATTATCATTGCGCTCTTTGCGGGTGAGGCAGATCCTGTCACTGGTCTCTGGACGGCCGCTCACAGCGGCTCTTGGCAGCTCACACTGGCTGCTGGCCACACATGGTAGTTCATGGCAGCCCACTGCAGCAGGAGCTGCAGCCTACGCCGTTGACGGCAACTCACGGCATCCCAGCTCCAGGTCGAGCTGTTGTTCACCATCTTAGCTGTGGAGGGCAGTGTCACTGGCCCTCATGTAGGATCTGAACTGGGGCCCTGCTGCACAGAGCTGGCCTCCCAAGCCAGCTCTTAACCAATGCGTCACTTGGCCGGCCCTAGAGTAAATTTTTTATTAGAGACCTCCAACGTAAGACAAATAGAAGCCTCTCTCACTTCTAGCAGTGTTTAATAAAAAGAAAAATAATTACTATAAGGTGTGTTAGTCAGGTTTCTGCTGCAATAAAGCTGCATAACAAACAGCCCCCACATATCAGTGGCATATAATTCAAGCATTTATTTCTCGCATGTCTGTGGACCAGCTGTGGATTGGGTTCAGGTCTCCCCACAGCCTCTCCTTCTGGTTCTAGCAGTTATTCGGGGCAGGCTTTTCACCTGGCAAATGTCTGAGGTACAAAGCCCAAACCCTGATATATATAAACCCCTATGAAACTTCTGCTTGTATCATATTTACTAACATTCTATTGGCCTGAGCATCATTGGGATAAACTGAAGGTTGTTGAGGAGTGAAAGAGACTCACCTACCCCACTGGGAGGCGCTATGTAATCATACGCAAAGCGCAAAGCGTATGGGTGTATAATCCTATTATAGGGAATAGTAATCCACTCTGTCATACAAACATACATGAAATCAAATACTATTGAAATTCAAATTTATCCAGTGCCTAGAACAGGGCAGTCAACTAAATGATCCTGAAGCTCAAACTATGGAAACTGTTACCTTTAGAATTCTAGTTAATAAGCTCAGTAATATGTGCCAGTTATGACCACTCTTATTTGGCCAGGTTAATACTGAAAAGGAAGACTAGTATTGTTGGTTGTGAAAACCAAGATTAAAGATGAACAATAGCGCTTCATAAGAGTCCCACTAAATCAAGTAATGCTACAGATTATACCTCTGTGAACGTGACTTAGGATGCTTTTTTCCTCACTAGCCAATCTATTCACCCTTCCATTCTCTTTGTTCTCTTCCTATTTTCACACTTTCTTTCCTTCTTTTTATCTTCCTGAATTGCCCTTCCCACTATTTTTCCACTGTTCCTGATTTTTTTGTCCTCAGCCTCCTTACCAGTGGTTCTCAAACTACTGAGTATTCCAAAACAGCCGAGGAAGCCAATTTGTGGTGGTCCGGACCCATCTGTGGCCCAGGCCACTGCTATTTTGCTTCGGCTTTTTCTCAGTAATGAGACGGGATTGATGACTCCTGAGTCTTCTGAGAGAATGAATCTGGAAATGAATTTTGAAATTTGTTTCTTATAATATATTACCACAAAGATTGGTCATATCAGATAGTTTGCAATTTAGTTGGGTGCTCCTAGTTTTATCTTGTTTTATCTGGCTTTTATCTGTTTCTTTATTGTTCATTATTAATTCATAAAGGAAAGGCAGACAGGGAGTGGAAAGGCTCACTCTTAATACTCTCATTAACTATTCTTTTTCAGTCCTTGTTTTTGATTGGGTAAAATCAAGAACGGTATGACATTTAGAAATAAAATAGAACCTATGGGTGAAAAACCAAACTTTTAAAAATTTATGCATAAGACTGTAAAAATAGAAACAAGGTTTGAGCTCAAAATAACAATTATAGGCTTTATATATAGAAAACCCGAATTAAAATAAAAGCAGGAAATCACAGATCTGAAACCAGCATTTCCGAAATTTCTTTTTCATGAAACCATCTGGAGAACTTATACAAGTGCACACTCTGGGTCCCACCTCAAAATATTTTCAGTAGGTCTGGGTTGTTGGCCAGGGTGTGTGTGTTTTGGTGGGTCGGGGGGGAGGATGAGGCGGTATCAGAGAATCTGTATTTTTAAAAAATAGCCCAGGGCATTCTGATACAAGCCGTCTAAGCATCATATGTTGAGAATCACCTCTCTAGTTCATAAGTGTATTTGTTTCCTATTGCTGTTACAGCAGATTAATACAAACCTTAGTGGCTAAAAACAACACAAATTATTATTTTAAAATTCTGGAGGTCATTAGTCCGAAATCAAACTTACTGGGCTAAGATCAAACTTTGAGCAGGTCAAGTTCCTTCTGGAGCTTCCACGGGGGGAATCCTTGCCTTCTTTACCTCCTCGCGGTCACCTGCATTCCATTGCTTCTGGCCTCTTTCTCAAACCTCTCCAATCCCTTCCTGACCATCCTGCTTCCCTCTTAGGAGGACCCTTGTGATTACATTTAGGGCTCTCCCAGATAATCCAGGATAATCTCCCCATGTTAAGATCCTTCATTTAATCACAGCTGCAAAGTCCCTTTTACCACGTGAGGTCACATATTTACAGGTTCCAGGGATCAGGACGAGGCCATCGCTGAGGGGCCACTATTCAGCCTGTCACAAGATAATGGAATTTTAGAACGGTAACAGTCCTCTCCATCTCTTTCAATTTGTAGATAAGGGGACAGAGCCCTGGAGAGGAGAACTGAGGTGCTTAAAGTCACACAGTGCGTTGTTTACAAAGCCAGAGTGGTGCTCCGTGCTGTGTTCCTCCAAGAACCCTGCCCGGTTGTCATGCCTTTGTGCTGTAGGAATCAGAGGTGTATGTAGGTGCCCACCACTAGTTGAAAGTAAAAAATAAAAAGTAAAACAAAAAGCTCTGGAGGACAGTAAGAGGAAAGAATAGCTTCTTCACCCATTATATTTGGCTTCCAGGAAGGGATAGAAAAAAATTAAGCAAGAAGGAGGGTCCAATTAAACAATTCCTGGCTTGTTTATAACACTTTTTTCAGAAGAGATATTTAGCATTTTTCCCTCAAAGTCACATGTGCTTGTTAACAACAAAAAATTAACTTCCACGACTGAAGTCTCTTTTAAAGTAAGGTTTCATTGAGCCAGAATGCCAACCAAAAGACAGGTCTTGGGGCATGGAGTCTAAACCACCAGCAGCATGGCTACCACGTTTCCTCAAAAATAAGACCGAGCCAAAGAAGAAGCCCTAGCATGATTCTTCCAGGATACGGAGGACACGCACCCCTCACATGAGGGTTTTATGACCTGTTTCAGGGAGAAGGGTGCCTTTTCCACAAACTCCTTCAGCTTAAAATATTCAGTATGCCAAGGTGCCATATTTTGGCACCTAAAATCATGTGAGAGCTTATTTTCCGGCTAGGTCTTATTTTTGGGGAAGCAGAGTAGGTAGAAAAGACAGCATGTCCATCATCCCATAGTTTTGCAAATGTTTTTAACATCAAGTAGGGAGAAAGGGAAAGAAAGAGATCATCAGAAATAATTTTCATTCGCTATAGGCAAAGCGGTGGGGGGAAGGTGACGCTGGGCAGCCCTGGGAGAGGCGCCAGGTCTGCATAAAGAAATGTCTGCTCCTGTGGATTGGCCGGGGGCCGCAGCCTGGAAAGCCCTCGTGTAAACAAGCTGAGGCTTCTGGAGTTAGACGGTGCCTGAAAATAATCTGCAGAAATAGCTGCCGGGAGATTTAGCCGCCCGAGATTAACCCAAAATTCCAATTTGGGGCAATAGAAGGAATGTGAGTAGTCGTTTGTTAGCTGGCCAGACTAACAATTCTGTTTCCTTCTCTCAGTTTCTGGCCTCTTTAATTTAGAACACCTCAGAATTTTCTCCTTGTCATGCTGTATTCCATTTATTCCAACAACCATTTTCAGAACTTTGAAGATCCCTTCTGAGAATCTTTTCCTCCCTGGTTCTGTTTTCCCAGAGGGTGGAGAGAAGGGAGGGAAGGAGGCTCTGTGTTTCTGGCTCCCTTGCCTTTGGGTCCCCAGACCGGGAGGAGTGGGGACAGGCAGCCACCTCAGGTGCCACAGAGACGTCCTGTGGCGCTCATTGTGGCCAAGAAGTCTGACTACCAAGAAACTCACTTGAATAAGTCACATTCACAGGGCTGGGTGACTAGCAAGGCTTAGAAAAATGTGTAATTGTCTGGAGAGGACTAAGAGGAAAGGATTTCTCCTTCCTGCCTCTTGAAAGAATGTGACAGTTACTTTTTAAAATCTTTAAACTATGAGTTGTAAGCTTATTTTGATAGACTGATGCACTGAGCCTTTTAAGTTGGTAAGACATTGAATTATTCATCATGTTCTTTTTCTATCAAATGGTTTTGTGGTTTATTGATAATGTCTAAATTTCAGTGCTGGTGACAGCCCATTCTACAAAACTAATTGAAAGTATTGGCATTCCCTCAATTAGACAGTGGTTAAGTACATACAAAAGAGAGGTTTGTTATGGAGTTGCTGTCCAAGCTCCAGGAGAACAAACTGAGAATGTTGCCAGCCACCCACTTCAAAACTTGGTGCAAGGGAAATAATGGCTTTGGAGGTTGTTTATTCCATTTCCCTAATAACCAGCCAGTCAGTGTGGTCTTCAGGGAGTCAGCATTGAAATGCATGATATAGATCTAAAACCCCCATATAATAGGGTCAATAGTCAAAGCTTTTGGGACATAGGCTGAATGTCCGTAAGGTTATTATTCTCTCCAGTAACTGCCTCCATAGGGTTTGCAACATTGTTTGCCAAGAGGATATGTGTTTCCTGAAATGATTTAAGATACAAGAAATAATTTCCTTTTTCTTATTTAAAAAAAAAAAATTGTCCAGGTGGCTGAAGAGCATCACTCTTTGGCCCTACAGAGGAAATGCCTGCTGACCTGGGTCCAGTGTAGTCGGGAGAGCCTGGCTAGGAGGACGGCCCAGGCCGATCAGCTCTATTCCCAAACGCTGCTCAGGAGAGTCACCCGGAGCTGGCTGCAGGTAAGGCCATGGGGACGGGAGCTTTACATACACGTCTCTGCTCAATCTTGTGTGAGAAAATTAGATGCAATCCAGAATGCTCATAGTCATTGTTTTCTCAAGAACTTATGGTCAAGCTCATTCATTGCTTTGAAATGAATATGAAAGTCTCAGATCAATTTTTTAGTAGTATAAAACCTTAAGCACGTTTCTTTTCACAGTGTTCATCTTTATAAAGATATAATGTATCATTATATCAGCTTGTTTTTTATACTCATTTCTTGTCCCATAAATGCCTTAGTGATTTTGCTAGAAACCTGCCCCCTCAGTCTTACGTTTCTACCCCTCTGGTTCCATTATTTTTTAAATACATTACAGAGGGTATTACCTTGTCTGCCGTGTTATCTTTTTCTCCTGTGCCTCCAGTGTCCTGTGTTCCTTTTTGTGTTTGCTTTGATTCTCTTTTGTACTGTTTGTTTGCCCTAATTCTTTGTCTGTGGCATTATTCTCTCACTTGTTCGTTTCCTCATCCCCAGTACCTGACTGACCTGGAGGAGGCAGTACGAAAGCAGTACGTACATTTCCTTCAGAAGAAGATTTTCAGGGCCTGGTTCAACATGGTCAGGGAGGCCAAGGTCGATTCTCAGAGCAAGCACAAGACTGCGGTGGAACATAGTGACAGGTGAGGCCTTGATCTCTCAGGAAATTCACGCACTGGCTTCACGGTTGCTCTGCAGTATATTCTGTGCCTTGAATATATCTGAAGAGATGACGTGGAGGCTGGCAGAGCTGGGCTCTGGAGATACCAGGCAGGCATGGGAATCCCAGAATGTATGTATTCTTTGTCACATAGATTTACCTTTTAAGTTCAACTTTTTAAAACATGATTGCAAAATATAACACAAATATAGAAAAGTGCTTAAATCAAATAAATACAGCTTAATGAATTACTATAAAGTGGACACCCCGTGTCACCACCACTGAGGTCGAGAAGTAGGGCCCCCAGAAGCCCCTACTGGTTTCTTCCCTATCACAATCCCATCCCCTTCCCTCCTAAAGGTAAACTAATCTCCTCATGTTTATGAACATTTCCTTGGTTTTTGTTTCACTTTTTCCTTCTAAGTATGCAGCCCTCAAAGGCTCTAGTTTAGTCTTGTCTGGTTTGAAGCTTCATTATAAGTGGAATTGTACTGTATGCCACATTAATATTTATAATAGTGATCTTATTTAATTCAGCCTCCTTGGGGAATAAGGTATTACATGTAAGTTTTCCTTTGTTTTTTAATTTTAAGCATTTTGGATAGAAATGCTCTAATTTCATTATGTGCTTCTTTTTGAGAGTAAACAAATGATCTGTCCCTTTTTGGTGACTGGGTGCATTCTTTATGAACACAATGCCGCGGGCAAATGCCCTCTTGTTGAGGTGTGATGACCGCTGTGTAGGTATGAAGTGTCACCTTCTCAGAGGGTTTCCCTAACCATCTGATAGAAAAGGAAAACCTATTAGTCACTCCCATCCATTTTTGTTGCTTTATTTTCTTTACAGCATTTGTCTGAATTCTGTGATTTCCATACCTTTTATGTTTTATTCACCTGAGTCTTTTATCAAGTGTTTAATGTACTTCAGACGGAAAGTCAGCTTTTCCTTAGTTTTTCACCTTTTTTTTTTCCTTTTTATTCTTGAAGGAGGATTCTCTGGGTCACATTTCAGACATGGAAGAAGTTTGCAAAATTTATGAAAGAGGAAAGAGTAAGAGAAGAGAGGCGAGAGCAACTCCGTAAGAAGGTAGCTGAGATTCTTCCAGACTTCCAGGTGCTGGCACCACTGTGACTTACTTGTACCAGCAATCGTGTATTCGGCCCTCGTGGGAGAGGAGTACTGGGTGTGCAGAGCACACAAGCCAGTGCAGTGCTTGGGATGGGGATGTCCACCAGTCCATAGTATGGATGTTATCGCCACCCACCCACATATATGCGCATACACCTGGTTTATGTTCTGTCACGTCCTTCTTGGATCAAAGGATTTTGTGCATTTGTACTTCCTTCTTTTATTTCTTAGATTGCTAATCAGTTCACTAAAGCATTTGTCACAGCAGGATCATCCAAAGGAACAGTCTAGAGGGCTTCACTGTTCAAATGTATCCCACATATTTTTAGCATCATAAACTTCAAAAAGGACAAGTGTTTGCTTGCCTGAGCTTGTGGAGGAAAATGTGTCCTTATAGCTTAACATGAGTTGTTGACAAATGTTACTCCAATTAAAAAGAAATTAAAATTAGTACTTAGAAAAGGGGCCATGCCATCTCATACCTTAGCATCAGCAACAGGCATTCTGCCAGACTGTCCTTTTTTTGCCCACCCCGATGGAAAACCCCGTATCAAAAGGTAGGTACTCTGTGTTGCTTCTGCAGAGGGTAACAGCGTATCCTAATTTCAGAGAAATTGGGGCACCAAAGATACTTCTCTTCAGTGCAACTTGATAAGCAGGAAGGGAATTGCAAAGCTCATGACTGTCAAAGGCAGTCCATCAATTCACTAAAATGTCTTCATGCCCCCGGTTGCAATGTCTAAGTAATACCTGATGTAGCATCTAGTCCTTGGCTCAGTTTGATCTATATGTCAAGATATTTATCTTGAATTCAAAGAATGTTTTAATCTTTAAGGTACTATAAAGACAAAATGCTCCCTTCTGTGAACTGAGAAAATTACCTGCTAGAAAAAATTGTTTTCATTACAAAATACATGTTTATTACAAGTTCAAGTAGTAGAGAAATACATACAAAATGAGAAAGTCTCTTATAGCCCAGAGGTAACTATTATTTGATAAGTTGAAAATCTGAGTTGGTAAATAAAATTGTGTTCAATAAATTCTGTTATTGTGCCTTACTTCGTAGAAGGGCTTTCTAGCTACACCACCTGCAAAATGACTTCTCTCCTTTTTCTATGGAAGATATGTGATGATTTACTCAGATAACGACAAAACACCCTAAGTTGAAATTTATTTCTTCTACAATGTCCCTGTCCCCACACCTTTTCCTTTAATGTGACTGATTATACAGCTGTCATCTAAAACTTCTTAATCTAATGGCTGCTAAAGAAAATGGGAATAAGAGTAACTCGTATTTAATCTCTTTCCATCTAAATCACTGTCTGTTTATACTTAACTATACTACAGTTATAGAATATTGGCTGATAGTAGCACCCAGAAATCAAACACCAATTTTCTTTCAATACCAAGCCTGTAGATAAGGGTGAATCCCTAAGTAAACATGCCAGGTGCCTAAATACATCCATTAAGCTTAAGTTTTATTTTTATTTTGCCTCAAGCATCATTTAGAAATTGAATCTTTAGCAGCCCACATTCTGATTGGACCAGCAAGAACTTTTTACCTACTTATAGAACCTTCTAAAGAGGCATAGGGAAATAACTTAGTAAATGACCTACGTTTCTCGCTGGGCTGTCTTGATGTGACTTGAAATGTTACTGCTAACAAAATGCCCAATAAGCAGTATCCCTGGCTTACAGAACTAGAAAAGGAACCACCAGGAAAATGATCATTTAGGGCTAGGAGGAGTGTAGGTAGGTCCTTCCGCAGGTTGGGGACATCCAGGGAGCTAGGGACCACAGCCCAGCTATAATCCAGGCTTTTCTAAAAGCAAAAGAGCCCAGGAGACACGCCAAGAAACACCAACTAGTTTCCTTAAAGAAAGCACTTTATTTTTCATTTAAATAACTTGGTCACAGTACCTTATTTTACATCTGGCAGTAATTTTTTTAATCTCCATTTAAAAGGCCTTGTGTCTGAGTCTGAGGTGATAAGAAGATACGAATACAAGTATAAAAAGAGTGCAAAATGTTTAACCCACAGCTCCCAGTGTTGGCTTCAGAAACCCCTTTTAATGTTGCTGGGCCAGTCACAGTAAATATTAATTTTAATATTAAATAAATATTCCTGTGTTTCCTTTAGTCCAACGTCAGACCCAGAAACGTAATTAAATGAAAAGGCTCAAAAGCCCCAACAACTCACACCATCAAATCACCGAGACAGTCCAATCCCAAGTTGAGCTTGCGAGTTCGGTAACATGGAATCTTGTCAGTGATGCCCTCTGAAGACATACAGTATTTTAGTTGCATCAATAACTAGAATAGACTAGATCTGGTTTTAAAGCTTTGCTTTAAAGTATGAATTTTCTAGAACAGACAAGTGCCATCAGAAAGGCTGGAGTAGTAATAAGTCACAAGGCCGACTTGGAAATAGCTGCAGCCTCTAAGAAATGTGTCTTCATTCCCCACTCAGCCTTTGGCCTGTTGCTGAGCCTACACCGAAACACAGTGCCAGCTGAACTAGGGAGACCTGGCCACTAGCAGCAGGACTAAATTTAGCTGATTTTACCAAAAGTTTCTATTACAGCAAACACCCACAAGAACACACTGAATTTCATTAGGCAGCAAGTTAAGCACAGCTCTCATTCTCCACCTGCATCACCTCTGCGATGTTGAATCCAAAATGGCACAGTGATCAAGCTGCTGAGGAGAAAACCACACAGGTGCTTCAAGCAGGTCTCCAGCATCCATTGCTTATCTGAGGAAATGCTCCTTTTGAAAATGCAGGGTACCAAAATGTGGATCAAATGAAGTTACGTCATATAAACCTACTTCCCTAAAGAGACCCTTAAACCTAACAGAACAGTAATTTTTAAACATCCTGGTCAAAACTGTGCTACTAGATGTCATATTTTTGCTTCTATGAGTTGAGTTTTATAATAAAAATCTAATGTCCTATCCAATGGAAATATCGTCTATTAATCAGATAGTCAGCATCACAGAGAACCTTACTGGCACTGTGTTTTCTGGCAGTGGAAGATTCTAGTATAGAAAATTTTCTGTTGCGAAAAATATTCGAAGTTCCAAGGACTATTGCATAAGAGGAAGTTTGTAGCAGTCTTTGTGCGAGGCAGATGGTACAGTGGAAGACAATTACTTCATTCACCAAAGGAAAACATACTTGGATAGCAAAGATTTACAGTATCAAACACACACACAAACGCGCACACGCACGCGCGCACACACACACGCACGCGCGCACACACACACGTGGCTGAGGCAAGACAAGCAGCACTGTCCCTAACACACTTAAGGCTCGATGTCAGCAGCATCACGGAATCCTACCAAAGAGGCATTGTGAATGGTCAGTTAATTTCAGGTGGGCCTACAAAGTACTCTTTGGGTAGCATAAGAAACATTTTAAATATTGAAGGATTTTCTCCCCTCGTGCAATCCTGATCCTTTACTCTTTTCTCCCTTGAATCTTTCAAATGGACCCATTTCTCTTCCCCAGGAATAGTACACAGGAGCATGACAGTAATGCTCATTAGAAAACAGTAAATCATTTACTAAGCTTCACATCCAGTGTGTTTATTCACAGAGGCTGAGGATGTGGAGGGAGAGAAGGGAACTCGCTTGTCTAGAATTATGCTGGGGGCGGGGCCAGCAGACTGCTGGATGACAGGCCTGCAGGGCAGTTCCCACTGCTGCCACCAGCACCAAATTCTTCTCTGGGACTTATTCCCAGAGACTTTGTCCTTTAGAACGACCAAATCCTTCCAATACTTCCAGATCATAAGAAGTGTTACTGTCTCGGTGTCCAGGCCAACGATGTCCCAGAGCCTAGAGCACGGTGCATGGAGAGCCCCTTGTTTGCCCTCCTTTGGGTGCAAATACTTCAGTGGACTCTTACCCCCACAAAACCACGAAGCTTCTCAGAGGTCTGAGCTTTCGTCTGTAAACTGCCAACCAGGAAGTTCTCAAGGAACTTAAAACAAGCACCTTAATTCCAATAATCCAGAATTACAGAGTCCTTATCCAAGTGAGGGACACCGCGGTGCCCCATCCAGGTAGTGCTATTGAGGGGTGTGTGGTTCTAAGGATAGTGATCATTCCTAATTCTCCCCGTTGACGTTGGACTTTTAGGTATGACTCATCTTCATCACGTCATATTTTGATTGTTTTTAAAGATTCAGCAAGAGGCTAAAGTCATTGACTATACTAACGTTTCTATGAATGTTGCTATCAATTGCTAGACAATCAGAGTTGGCTATACATCTGGCATTCAAGAGACTACAACTAGAGTTTTCTGGCTGTATGTGCTGGATGTGGCATTATTACTCTCTCTTATTTCAAATCGATACAGAAAGGAATGAGTTTTATCAGATCCAACAGTATTTCCAAATGAAGGCTTGACTCCGGGCCAGGGAGAGTGCATCACTGTAGAAACCACAGCCTCTGCTAACACCCCAGACTTGCTCTTTGACTCATCCCAGGGGATTTCAGAGCCTATCGTTCATTAAACAAACCATCTCTGGGGAGAGCGACAAGCTGTCTTAAGGACAGTCTCAATTAATGGCGGGACTAGGGAGGGTGCTATCTGCAGAAGGCCGAGTTGCAGGAAGTAGCACTATTTCCTCTCAACATTTATAAACCTTTTGTTATAGCAGCATGCACAGAAAGACTGAAAACCCTGGCAATATTTTCTCTTATAAGCCAAGGCAAATTTAAGGACTCAAGAATTATCTTTGGGACTGAAAAAAAAAAATACAGGTACAAAAGCAAGTATTTCAGGAGGGTATTTTCCCCATCTGAAATTGCCTCATCTGAAATCTATGGCAGAATAAACCCCTTCTAGATAAATATTTAGTCCTTTGTACATTTTCAGTTTTGAGATATGATTAAAGAAACAATGTGATATTTTTGGAAGAGCTAGGGAAGAACAGTTAATCCATTAGTTAGTGGAAAACACATATACCCTGTTTTTCTCTCTTGGTGAGATACTTTTATCTAGGGAAAGGTGAATGAGAAGTAACGCGCAAGTTAAGTGGGAAGATGTCAATCAACCCCTCAAAGGGAGTCCGTGCCAGAATAATGTGAATGCCGGAAGACCGATTATTGCCACTTACTGCTGTAACTGACAGCATTTGAATTACTTAAATGAACAAAAAAAATCAAGCCCTTGATATTAACCAGTCACCCTATCCAGGAAACAGAGTCAAGTGTTCCCTGTAGGGGTGTCTTTTCTCTTCCAGCCATCGTCACAGTGTGGCTAGCACCTTACCAGGTGAGGCATGGAAAGAGGAAAAAACATTAATGCCTACTGGAGTTATTCAGAGTAGATATGAACAATAAATATCTAAGAAATAAGATAAATATAAGAACTTGTCACCTAAAATCATGACCACCATACATTATACCAGCAATAATTATAATTCTATCAACTGTGTTTTCAGATGACAGTATAAAACCATCTGGTCCATCCTCTACCAGGTTTGAGTAGTTAATGTCTAATACTTCAGAAACTCCCGTAACGGTACAGCATGGTATTTGGGGATCTCTTTTCGCTCTGAAACGCTGAAAACAGATTAATAATATTGGCTTCAGTGTTCTGACCTAAAAACATTTTTCCAGTCTTGGGATTTTCCTAATACTTCATATCTCTCTGACACTTTAATTCTTTTTCAGTGCTTTACACAGACGTCCTCCCTCATGTGAACCCCCCACGACAGCTCTGTGAGGTAGCCAGGGCAGGCATCAGCACCCCACTTTACAGATGAACCTGAGACTCAGGGACGTGACTCCACTACGGGGTCACATGGCTATTAGCGATTAAAAGAGGGAGGACTAGAAACCATCCTAATCCAAACGCCTTTCTCCCACACTAATGGACAGGAGTTGCTTCTATCAATTTGTGCATTAGCAATCCACATCCTTTCAGCTTCCGGTGGTTTAGTTAACAAGGTGACTGGAAAGGGATGGCTCTAGTGTTACTCCTTCAATATAAAAATCTCTTAAATTGTGAAGTCAAAAAAATTGCTTTCTTCCCAGTTCACTCTCTAAACCTGAGCACGGCCTTTAAGAAACGGGTTAAAAACAAACATCCTGCGTGGACCCTGAAGTGTACGGCGGAAGGGAGCAGAGGGCAGAGCCACCCCTCCCGCTGCCGTACAGAAGGCACTTCAGACAATGTCCTCAGCAGGGTGATGGAAGGGGTGAGCGCCCAGGGTGGAGAACTGGTGCCAGTTCCGCAGGAAGCCCCGATTGTACTGGCCTGGGTCCACAATGAGCCCGCAGAGGAGCCGGCGCCCCGTCTTCTGTCGAAGGGCCTGCTGGACTTCCCTCTCAGTCACATTATAACTGATGTTTATCAGCTGGATCAGGAAGATGTAGGCCATGCCGGCTGTGATGATCACAGAGTACCACACGCAGGTGAAGGACAGGGCGGAGCTGGGGGCGGAACAGGCGGGTCAGGGCTGCGGTCTTTTCACAGTCAGAAAGCTGTCACTGTTCTGACATTTCCACACCTGTAGTACTTTTTGGCACCTTCCCCAACTGCTCCACTGGAAGATACTTTCCTATTCTCAAAACACCGATAACCTGTTTAACTTATGGCTATTAATTAACATGTTCTGTTGCATTTTATAATCATTGGTGCCTCTTTTTCTAGTATGTTTTACTAAAATAGCAAGGACTGGGGTTTTGTTGGGTTTTTTTGCCTTTTGTACCCCCCACACAACCAACACAGTGCCTGACATAATAGCATTCAAAATCTGTTTGCTGAATGAATGAATAGTTCCTAACTTGCTCTGAACTCGGGAGAAAATGAAGGCGCCACAAGATTGCTATAAACGTTCTCAAGGAAGCTATGGGTGGGAGCCCAGGAACACTGTTAAAGTTCATTTCCAGTCTCCCAAAACTAGAAGCCCTATACTTGTAAGATGTGTAGGAGCATCATCACATTTCAAATTCAGCTTCCTAAAGCCAAACGGAATCACACAGGACAAGAAAGCTCCTTTCAGCTCGTTAATAAGACTGTGAGGAGAGGCTACCGGTTAATGTTTGCCAACTGATTATTTTCACTCAAAGATTTCCAATGAGTTACATGGAAATAAATTCATTCAGAATCTGCTCTTGTTAAGCCAAAAGGGACCTTGGGTTGCCGGCTGGACTCCCACATGGGATGGTGGGCTACACCCACCCGCAACTAAGATTGAACATGGCACCTTGAGCTGAGCTGCCCTGAGCTGCAGACAGGCAGCTGGATGATGACTGGACTTGGGAGCTGAGCTAGCTGCGCCCTCCACAACTAAGACTAAAGGACAACAACTTGGCTGTTTCCCTCCCCCAATTCCCCAACACTGTTCCCCTTCCCCAATTCCCCCAATAAAACCTTTTTTAAAAAAGGTGGGGGGGACCTTGGAGATGATTAAATCACCACATAGATGAGGAAAGCTGGGGCCCAACTGGGAGACATGAATCATTATACAGTGAGAACCAATGGCAGGACCACATTCCTCATTTAAGTGACCCACAGGAAGTCTACAAAACTCATGCTTTGTAACATGCTCTGCTTTAGGACGTTTGTCACAACCTACTAAGAATAGTAATTACTGAATAATTCCAGTGTTACTGAAAAATTTCACAACCTACTAAGACTCTCAACATAGAGAAACAAAGAACTTACGGTGAGGAGGAGAACCAATCTATTGTAACAATGCCCATAAATGTCTACATCTATGATGGCCGTGGGGATCAGTTCATGGACTAATACAAAGACCTGCATGGGGCACTACATGTATTGGGTTGTCGGAAAAGTCATGACATATTTTTTTCTCTGTTTTTCGTTGCAAAAATGCCTCATGACTTTTCCGACAATCCAATAGATGAGGCAGGGAGTGTTCTGAAAACAGGGGAGAATGAAAAGGGCCGTGGGGGCAGAGCTGCTCCAGCTCAGGCAGGACCACAGAAACCACAGAGCGCCCACCTCAGAGGAAAATGGTAGCGGGAGGAAACAAAGAAAGGCAGAGGGAGCTTGTGGCTTTCAGGAGAGGGGGCGGCTCAGGCCAAAGCTGAAAACTCCCAGCTTCTGCCAAAGCATGGCAATCTTCACAACACAGAAATGTGCCCAAACTAATAGTGCTGAAGGAAATTTTGACCTAGATACCACAGTAATCATGAGTGATGATTTTTTTAAAAGTAGAACAGGGAAAAACCAACAGGGGTTAAATAGAAAAGAAAGGTTACAGAGATTGCAAGCACTTCACAAAAGGATCACCAAAAGGATCAGAAGCAGTAAATTAAGATAGGGCTAAAAGGCACCAGAAAGCAGCAAAGTGAGGAGCTCCCTGATACTTATGACAAAATGGCCCACATACATCCCCTGGGACTTCTAGTTGTTTGTTTTAGTTTCGCTGTCACTTGCTTGGGCATGTGACCCTGGCAGTCCCTGATTAAGCCTGGTCCTGCTTATACAGTACTAGTTTATCACTTTTTAAGGGTCAATGACCCTTTTGACATTACCCTAGAAAAATGCGCCTCTCCACTGCACAATTTTGTTGGCAATTTCTGGGATGCTCAGCAGCCCCATACCCTGTCCTACGTTTTGGTTGAGAACTCAACCTGGCAGCCAATCACAGCCCCTTGAACTCAACCTGGCAGCCAATCACAGCCCCTTGAACTCAACCTGGTAGCCAATCACAGCCCCTTACATTATTATCCCTTCCCTCCTCTGTGGGCCTAAGTGCTGCAGTAACCACATCTCACCTGTAATTTGCATACACTCCAGGACAATAGAAGAGAGCTGTGAAGACACTTCTTTCTCTACAAATGGTGTCCAAGGTCAGCGTGATCCCATACACCGAGGTGAGCAAGAAGATCAAAAGGGCAAGTATGAATGCTTGATGATTTGATTCTCCGACACAGCTATTTATCCTCAAAACAGCAGAAGGGGGGGAAAAGCAAACACGTTTTAAAAAGTTCTCTCTATAACTCACATAATAAACAAGAAAGCTTTTAACACAGGAACAGTGTGAATTTCAGTTATTAAAAGGTTCTCTTATTTTTCCATTTTAGGGAATTAAAACCTTGTCCGCTGAGAGATATAGTCTTATATCCTCTGCTCTTTGCAAAATGAAATTATATCATTAGTTTAAGGACAAGACTAAGTAAAAAGCAGACCTGGGCTAACAAACCTCTAAATATTAGTAAGTGGAGTCTATTACCCAGCTATGAAGAGAGATGATATTGTAATCACCACAATAAGGATGATTGATCACAATTATGAAAACCTAAAAATGCTAAATCAGAAGTAGTACACAGCATGGGAAAATATATGTTAAATATATATATTAATGAAATGATCCCAAGAGGTTAGAAACATGGTCAGGGTGGAGAACGCGCTGATATGCAGACTTATCTTTATGTAAGGTGAAGAGTTTGTGTCACAGCCATTTGTAGGGCAGAATGTACAGGGACAATGGGATGCCCCAGTGAGTGAGGCTGGCAGGCCCTCTGCAAACCAGCACTTGTAAATGGGCCACACACTCACACACACATGAGTAAATGACAAAGACACAGAAGTGGAAAAATCTAAAATGAAAACACCGTTTACTCCTAAAGGCAAAACCCCAGAAAAGAGCTGTCCCCATACCTGAGTCCCGCACTTGAGGTCCACCCCAGTGCCCTCCTGGCCTTTTTGCCCCTCACCAGCTCTGACGTCCCTTTCTGTGGGGCAAGTATGTTACATAACCAAAATCCTAGCCGTAAAAAGCAGAATTCATTGACCACGACTGCCTTAAGAACAATAAAGTTGCAAACATGCTACTTATACCAGTCACATCTGAATTAATTACACCTCCTTTAGTTTGAAATTTACTCAGTAAAGCTGCAACATTATCTTTAACAGTTGCACTTTATATCTTAGGGGACACTTCAGTGTCCTCATTTGTCACTGGCCAGCAGGTAGGTGCAAAAAAGCCCATCTCTCCACCAATAACCAAATAGGAAGTTATCTGGTAAGGACTTGACACAATAATGTAGACTAGAAATCATTAGTAGTATTAAAATGATTAAGGATGTATGGTGAGAGGACAAAAGAGTCACCTAAAAATACGGGAACACTGTCTTGAATTCTGTTCAAAAGGAATAGCATAAGGAAATACTCCTATACTGATTCTGATAAATTCTGAAAACAAACAAACAAACAAACAAACAAACAAAATTCATTCAACTATAGATGCTTCTCTTTTAGAAAAGAGAAGATAAATGAGGGGCCGGCAGCTCAAAAGAGAATAACAAAAAAGATGAAAAAACCATCTTCAGGAAATGACTGAAAAAACTAAATTGGTGAAACTCAAAAAACTGATGACTAAGTGGGAAGAGCATAACAGCCCACAAATATTCACAAGGTGTAAGGCTGGGAAGGAGAGAAATTTTAGGATGACACCAAGGAAGATCAAACACGGCTAGAGTCTCACGTGAATTCACACTTCACAAGCCTCCAAATTTTCCCACATACCAGACGCAGTGGTGATCCATTCTCCTCACACACGTGCCACATATCCGGCAATGCCATGCCCGGGCTGGTCGCACCAGCTGGCACTTGGCACACCAGTCCTCTTTCACCTTGGTGGGGCTTCCAGCCAACATCCTGGAAGGGCCCTTCAGGTCATCCTTCAGCGTGCGGTTGTTGAGACTGCCTGATGTGTCTGTGCCAGGGAACCCTTTGGTCTTCTCCTGCCCTTTTCTGTCCAGGCACTCAATTTGGCTGCTGTCACTGCTCGCTGGATTTCTGAGGTAGCCTGGATTCTTCTTGGCTCTGTACAAGGCTAAGAGGATCAGAAATAACCCGCAGGTAAGAAGCGCCAGCTGAGTGGGCCCCACACGCCCTCTGGGGACCACTTCCTGCAGGAACACATAGTACATGTAGCCCAGGGAGAACAGCCCGAGGCTCAGGAAGAACAGGGTCTGCTCTTTCCTTCTGTGAGTGAGGTAGTAGTACCACAGAGCCAGCACAGGAAGGGAAGTCAACACCACCACCCCCAGGAGGAAATGCCAGGAAGCCACACGAAGGAAGACGGGCAGGAGGATGAGCGGGGGGATGATGCTAATGTTAACTTTTTTGGCTCCCCTAAGCCAGGGAATTCGGAGGCGATCGGAGATTGTATCCATGATTCTTTCACAAGTCTCTGGCTGCACGGATTTACACGTAATCCATCTATTCAGAAAGAGCACAAAGAGAAGGCACTTCATGTGGGTTTGTTGAATTAAACACCACTGAACACTGTAAGCCAAACAACAGGATAAATGATAAGAGGTCAAAGGCCACGTATCCTACTTCCTGACTACTAAACTTGAGTTTTTCAGATTCATGTATCATTTTTTAATATGAATGAGAAGATAATGTTTAACTGACAGTTGAAAACTATTTCTCCAGGAAACGAATACACATATATACTCACATATTCCACACAAAAGCACTGTTTAGACTTGGGTGGGTAGGTACAGACATAAAACTCTCAAGAAATTTCACAATCTAGTATGACGACAAGACAACATGGGAGCTTATACATCAGATAAATGACACGGCAGCAAAATCACCCAATGAACTATTATGGTCAAACATCACAAGCAGTGCTCAGAGGAGAGTGAATGCTTTTGGGTGGAGTCATTAGAGGGGTCCTTGTTGAAAAGGTGGGGTCTGTGCTCAACCTTGACAGATGGCTAGCATTTGTACAGGTGGAGAGAGAAGAAGGCATTCCAGTGGACAGACATGTACAGCACAAAGCCTGTCCTGGGCCCAGGGAGTAAACCAGTTCAGTAGGGACAGGGGTCTGCATGGGGAAGAACAGAGATCAAACTTTATGACTCAAATGACTAAAAAAAAAAAAATGGCTTTTTTTTGCACACGTAGGCTTGTAAGGAAAGGAACAATTTAAGGAATGATAACACTGATTTTAGACAATTAAAAAAAATAGTGATAGACCTTGGAAATGGGAGACAACTATATGGGAGCCATCCAGAGCAGCAGGCGAGTGGAAATGCTGGGAGCCTATCTCCAGAGAAGTGTATGAAGAGAGCAGAGGAGAGAACTCAGGGCCAGCCCAGGTCTCAAGGGCTGGGAGGGAGGAAGAGTTAAAAGGTTAATGGAAGAGCTGCGGTCTTGAGTGATGGAGATTATGAAAGCAGCATCATTTCTCCATTCATTAGCACAAAGTGCTCCATTTTCTCAGTATGGATTTTAGACTAAGTCTAAAGAATCTATGTTTAAAATCACCTGTAAAAAAGACTACAGACATCGTCAAGTAAGAACTGCAAAGAAGTTATAGGGTAGTTAGGTGTCAAGGTTGGTACTAGACCACAGTGGTCCCCAAGAATGCTCTTCATGGCTAGATTAATGCACCAAGTTCAAAGTCAGCAATCTGCCATTGCAATGGTTTTTTAAAAAGCAGCAGTAACTATTAATGGGAAAAGCAAGTTTCCAACATCCTTATTCTTCCCACATTATGCTTTCCATATGGCAACAATTTTTTAATATATAATTACTTAGCAAATGGGTTAAAAATGGATAATTGCTTAGAAATGAATAAGTTATATATAAAAATATATAATCACTTAGAAAATGGAAAAAGACTATTTGGTAGAAAATTTTTTCACTGATGATAAAAATTATCTTTTTGGATAGCAATTTCCATTATTTGGTATAACAATGAAAATAAAAGCCAAATACAATAGCATTAAATGAGACAGTGTTACTGCTCATGTTGAAAATAGCCAATCCAAGGGAGGGACATGCCTTCTGGTTGGATTTCCTCCCCAGAAACAAGGGGTGAAACCAGTTCCAACAGCATGAAAATGATCTTTCAACCCTCAAGCCCCTTGGTGGCCAAGGAGTCAGTCTCTAAATGCCTGTTGTCTCCATCTTCTCCCTTTTAAATGAAAAATAATAATGTCCTGAGCTGAACAGACAGTTGTGCACAACTGAGTAATTCATCCTTATAAAATCCTCACCCTTGACATAGAACACAAGTCTCAATTTTAGGTACTTGGACATAGAATCAAGAGCAAATTCTCGTGTTCTGGATGGCTATGCTGAAAGCGCACATGGTAGCTCTCAAAAGGGCCAGTGGAGTCAGCATCAAGAAACACTGCTCTTACCTATCACACCCTTCATCCAGGTCTTGGCAATCACACAAACAAGCAGCCACGTGGTTCTTTTCTCCATTGCGATCTATGTACTCGCAGCAGCACAGGGGCTCCAATTCAGGTTCTTCCGCTTTGTTTTTCTTCACTGGCTTCATACTGCCCTTCTGTGTCATGATTCCCACCTGTCACCATGAGGCGTACGAAGCCCTCAAAAGGTGAAGGTGGAAAGCACACAATTCACATCTTGTAAACACATCCACACCTCTCTGATCAGCCGCCAACGCCTGAGAAATCAAAAATGAGAAGAGGCGGAGGGGGGCCCCATTTTCATCAAGCTTTTCTGGCTCAGCTTGACCAGACAGGGAGCTCTAGGGCTCTAGGAGCTCCAAAGCAGCCCTCACCACCACTTCCCATCCAGGGCAGGCTCCGTCTGGGCACCAGTCGTTCCCATGGTGACGGCCGACCACGCTGCTGGGGACAGCCGGGACGCGGGTGGCTGCGCGCACCTGCTGGTGCGGGCTGGGGAGGACCGAGCGGTCCTCACCCGAACCTGGGCGCGGGTAGAAACTCACCCTCGGGGTTACGGGCAGAGACGTAGCGGTTACCGCTGGGGCCGGCGGACGCGCCCGGCTGCAGGAGCCAGGGACCCGGCTCAGGAGAGGCCAGCCGGCGCCTGGGCTGCGCTCGGAGTCGCGGTCCCACCCAGCTTTTCCAGCCCCGCTTCTCCACTCCAGCCCCGCACAGGGCGCGCCTCTCCCGCCCCCACAAATCTTGAGGATGTAGGCGGGCAGCGAGCGCCGCCCCGCCCCAAGAATGACCTTGGAAGGGAAGTTACCTGCGCTCCAGGGCCGAGGTGCGGCTGCAGCCAAAGAAGCCAAGGCGGAGGGGAGACAGGTCGGCTCCTCGGAGGCGCAGACGTGTCCGATCTCTGCTCTGCGAAGCTCCCGGCGTGGTGGCTGGAGTCTCGGGGACCCCGGCTCTGCTCAGCCGCGCCCTCGCCGCCGCCCACCTGTGACTGCAGCCCGCCGCCGTCCGGGCGGTGCCCCCGCGTCCCCGCCGGACCCCGGCCCGCCGAGCTCGGCGCGCCAAGTCCGCGCGCGCTTCCGGGTGCCCCGCCCCCGGCGCCTGGGGTCCCCGCCCACCCACACGTGCGCCACCCGCCGCCCCGCCGAGCCCGCCGGCGAGGCCCCTCCCCCCCGCAGGCGGCCCTGGCGCCTGGAGGACAGGAGGAGCAGGGGACGGGCCACCGAAAGCGGGTCCCGACGGCGGGGCGCAAGGCTGGCTCACACCGCAGTCCCGTCCCATCCGGGAGGGACCGAGACGGAAATACGGGAAACCCGACACTTGGAGGATTTCCAAAGTATTGAGACCCGAGGGACGGCCAACCCTCATTCAGACCCGCAAGTGGCGTTAGGGGAGATCTCCACCACCAGATGTTACCGAGGTACCGCCCCCAAATTTGCTAACCTTCCCGTAAAGGTCCATCACTGTCCTGATGTGATAATTATCCAACCTGTTCAGTTATTTCTGGTGAGCCGCCTCTACGTTAGACCCGGAAGCCTAGTACTTTTGTTCCCACAGTCTGCATATTTGAAATGAAAATGCCCTAAGATGAGAGTCCTCTTTGGGTTTTATTTTTGCACAAAATTTTGAAAAGAATGTAGGCCCGTGTACATGTTTTCACTTCAGTAGGATTTCTACCTTTTTTTTGTTTTAACAGAAAAGAAAGAAAAAAAAACCGACAACTCAGAGACTCGGGGTCTTATTGGTATTCAATTTACATAACTCAAATACAATTACTGAATTATGCATGCATTCATATTTAGTCATAAGTAATTTATAAAGCAACTTACTTTGGTCATTATCTTTGAGGTATGTAATGAAGTACAAGTTATTAAGAAACATCTCAAAAATATTCAGCTTGTCACTGATGAGTTTTGTGAATTCAACAGAGAACAAGGTTTCAAGTTTATAATTCAGTCAGTCTTGCTCACAGCCAGACACTTCATAAATCCTTATCAAAACACGCCCCCCCCCAAGTAAGTATAGTCATATCCCAAAGTAGGTGAATTGGGATTCGCCCACAGAAATCCATTTTCCCTCTAATCGAGTCAATACTTTCATTCTCTACAGGCATCTCAGAAATGTCTATAACAGTCCCATGTGGCTGTGGTGACTCTGGGAAAAAAAGATATTTAAAGGCAATAGTTGTTCAAACAGTAAGAATATATACAAATTATTCTGCACTTTCTCTTGTCCCAGAGACATATATGCCTTGTATTGAGACACATATGCCCAAAACCTTTTTATGAAAGAGCCAAAGCTTGTGCCTGACTTACAACTTCAGTGTCAGTGCATTTGTATTGGGAGATCATGTACCCAAATTTTTTATTAAAGAGCTTAAGTTTGTGTCTGGCTTATAACTTAAGGAGTAAAACAAGCCATTCATATGAATCAATAAAAAGGCCATATGTGGCCACTGAAAACTAATCCACAAATTATTTTCAACCAGATGGCTTACTTCCACCTGAAAGAGTGCTAAGCTGAAGCCAGGCTTAGTTCAAGTATTTATTTGATCTGTCACTATATGCCCAGATTTTAGCCTAATCTTCTGGTTTTTAAAACTCAAAGCATAATTCTTCATTTTGAGTACTGGTATCCTACATGTTTCCTTTTCTGAAATTGATTCTTCTGCCATTTGATGTATGAAGAGGCAAGATAATCTCACCTCTGATAGCTACCTGAAGAAGAAACAACTATTTCTTTCATGAAGATACCACATGGCTGAAGAACCTTTCCGATAATAGTCATCAACATGCAGAGTCAAAAGGTCTGACTATTGAATTTGCATGCTAAGTTAATGAAGATATTATAATATTTATAGTACACAAACCTAGAAATGTTATATGCCTGAAAATGGATCCTTTAAAATTCGAAATGATTTGGAGGTTTCTTACATTATCTTCTTTAATCTCTTGAATGTATCTTGACTGTGAAAGCAGCCTGTTGGACACATACTGATCCTATGTTAACAGATAAAGCATCAAACTTCAAACCTTACTGTAAAAACAAGGCCATATCACTCAGTTCAGAGCATCTCATTTTCTTTTCCTATCACAGAAATTCAAATCTACAACATATTTCATGCTTCACTGGAGAAATTCACAGCTCAAAATTAGGTATAAGAAGTGAAAGGATGGATTCTTAACGCCATCACAGACTAATTATCTAACAAATGTTATTAAAAAGAATGTCTGTATTAGAAGTACCAGTAATAGGGAAATATGAAAATGCTCCTATCACAATTAAAATCCTTCATCTTCTGGTTTTCTCCAAGATGTTTTCTTTTAGTTCCAAGTATCTTTGCAATTTCAGTCCGGAAGATCACAAGCTGTCCACAGCCACGCCAGTCTTGTTCTTGTTTAGGAGATCAAAGGTTCTCTGAAGCATAAGGAGTGAGCTCTTCAACTGCCAACAAAATAATTTTCAAAATCAGATTGTTTAAATTTTTCTGATTATTTTTATGCCAAAAGTTTACATTTACAGTTAACATAATTTTGTTATATTCAGAAGCCTGAATATAAAACACCTGATTCCTTAGGGTAATCTGGCAGTATGATTGCCACAGATTCTTCGCATTTGCTGTAGGACTGCATTTCTTCCTACAATGTACTGCTGTGTATTCTGCCTCCCAATATGTCCCTTAATCAAATTATCCAAAGTGAAAGCCTTGTTTTTTCAAATGAAGTTGCAGTGGTCTCACTAACTCCTAAACAATTCAAGGTCCACTTCCAGGCCTGTGCTTACTATTATCCTCATTTGTCTTATCTAAAACTCCCCCACCCCAACTGTCTCCATGTAGTTTCCCTGAATCATCCTGCCTCTAAACTCCCAAAGCATTACTACTTACTTTGACACTTAGTTTTATACTTTTATAGCCTTGAACAGTACACATGGTCATCTGATTTCTCTAATAAAACTGTAGGCAACTTGACAGCAAGAGTTACGTCTTATCCTTTTTGCATTCCTTCTTTCATTCAAATATTTATTGCTTATCTATTACATGTCGGGCACTGTGCTAAGCATTGGGGATGCAATGGTAAACCAAACAGGCACTGTCTGTGCCTTCATGGAGCTTACAGACTAGTGAGGGATAAAGTAAAACAAATAATCACACAAATAATATACTTACACATTGTATTAAGTTTTTGACTTGAACAACTGGAGGATGCTAGTATCATTTTCTAAACTAAGGTCAACTAGAGAATTGGGTTGGCTCAGGATGAAAACGGGATTCTGTTTTGGACATGACCAGTTTGGGATGCCTGTTAGCATCCAGGTGAAGATACCAAGTTGAAAAGTGAACGTATGAGTCCGGAGCTCAGGGAATAGTTCAGGGTGAGAGAGATGGATTTGGGAGTTAATGGCACACGCAGTATTCCCAGTTAGGGGATTGGATGCAGTCACCTAAAGGGGCAGCAGAGAAGGGAAGACAATCTAACAGAGCCTGGAGCATTGGGCCAGGAAGAGGTCAGGGAGAGATGGTTTCAAAGCAAAAAGTAGTTTTACATTATGCTAAGTGAAAGCAGCCAGTCACATAAATATATGATTCCATTTATAGGAAATGTCCAGAATAGGCAAATACAGAATTAGAGGGTAGATTAATGATTGCCAGGTGCTTGAAAGAGTGAGGGATGGGAGTGACTGCTAATGGGTCTGGGGTTTCTTTTTGGGGTGATGAAAATGCTCTGGAATGATAGTGGTAATGGTTGCATAACCTTGTAAATATACTAAAAGTCCTTTAAAGGGGAAATTTTATAGTATATGAACTACTTCACAATAAAGCTGGGTTGTTGTTTTGGTTTTTTTTTCACCGTTTTAAAGAAAGCAAGATTAGATACATTTCAAGAAAAGAGTGGTCAGCTCTATCAAAATGCTGACACTGTAAGATGAAAACTAAAAAAAGTACATTAATGTTAAAAGCCAGAGAGGTCACTGGGGACCTCAGCTCAAGCAACATCAGTGGAAGACAGGGAAGAAAACCAGGCACGAGGAGTGAGCTGAAGAGCGAGGAAGTGGATTAAATACATGTATCCAGTTTTTTTTTCTTCCTGAAACCCCACTAAAAGCACAGTGAGGGGACTTTTTCTAGAGACATAAACCACAGGGGTGGGAGAACAGAAAAAGTGACAACTGCAACACAACTCTGGAAACTGGAAAGCAGATGGATGACTTAGCAGGCCTGAAAAAGCTGAATCCTAAGTTAACAGTAGAGAAGCTGAGAACCAACCAAATTTACCCTGAAGAATCCTCAAAAGCCTCAGGAATTGATGGCCAGGAATTTCTGAAAGGGGGAATAAGGAGGAAAGGAATTGAATGACCCTTTGGACATCTGACCTCTCCTACTACCTGGGCAGAAGTCTAAAATTTTATTTCCTAGAGAGGATAAAACAGAGGGTCCCTGGCTGTTTGGCTCGGGGGACACCAAGACATCATTAAGGACAGTGGTACCATACCAAAATCGAGGATTAGACGAAAGTGTATACCAAATGTTGAGACCATCCCCTCTACTCTGTCTTCGCCCATCCCTCTCCTTTCACTCAGCTCCCAAAATGCTAGCAGCCAACCCTTATTCCTTCAGATAGGAAACTGAAAGAGTCTTTGTGGAAACTAACTGATCCAAGAGGAAACACCTAGATACTGAGATCAGGATTTCTCAGCCAGCAGCCCAGCCAAGTCTACAGAGAAGTTTGGGGTAGACCAGCCTGACCCACATGTTAAGAGCTTCTAATCCACACAAGCAGACAACCAAGGACTACAGACATCTAAAGAAACCCTCTAACTCTAAGGATAGAAATCAAAACAGGAGGGAAAGGATGTTCATGGAAAATGAGTATGCAAGAAGAAGAAAAAAAATGGTTTTAACTATCAGTAATATGGTCAGAGAGATAAAGGGATTATAGCTATTTAAAAAATTCACAATGCCATAAAATAAAGAAAATTCAGGGGAATAATAGCTCTTTGAAATTAAAAACTTGTTCGCAAAAATTGAAAAACTCAATAGAAGAATTTGAAGATTAAGTTGAGGAAATCGCTGAGGAAACAAAACAAAAGGCAAAGAGACAGAAGCTGGAAAGAAAAGGTAAGATTAGACAACCTGTCCAACAGAAGACCAACATCTGAATTTTAGGAGCTGTGGAAAGCGAAGGGAAGGAAATCATCACCTATATAATTCAATACTTTCCAGAACTAAAGGGCATGAGTTTCCAGATTAAAGGATTAGGAATGATAACATCCTCAGAATTCTCAATAGTAACACTGGAAGGCAAAGGACAATGAAGCAAAAAATTTTCAGACAGGTGAAATCTCAAATATTTACCTCCATACTCTCTTTCTCAGGAAGCTACTAACGGATATGCTCCTTTAAAAGGAGGAAGTAAATCAAGAAAGCAGAACACATGGGATGTAAGAAATAGGAGATGGGCAACAAGAATGCCCAGAATGAGAGCTGTGCGCCCACACAGAGGGCCCCTGGACCTGACTGGAGCCAGTCAGAGGCTGGAATACCTCAGATGAATGAAGATTATGAGAGGAGATTTATACAACATTAGGGGACGAAATAGTTATAAATAATACTGATTAATCAATGATAATGACATTTAGGGATAAGCAAAAGCACAGAAAAGAAAAAGCAGTCATGGTTTATTCTATGGCACAGCTCAGAACAGGAAACTTAGTCAATACAAAGCAAGCATTGAATATTGATCTTACCAAAATTATAACTTCACTTGGGAAAATGGGGGAATTAGAAATGAGGGCAAGAAGAGGTAAAAGGAAACAAAATCCTTGTCTTCCATAATTGGAAGACAAAGGATAATATCTAAAATTGAAATATCAAATACCAATACATGCTTGTTGATAAATATGGAGGTAAACAAAAGTTAAAGATTGTTGTCTTTCAGAAAGAAATGGAGAAGAGGGTGCTGGGATTGCTATTTTTCTCAAAAAAATCTTGTAGAACAAGGTAACTCTATGTGAACAAGTGATTTTGGAGAAAATAAACCCTAAAAAATGAATGGGTTAAGAAAAGTAAAGGAGTGACAGCCAGAGTAAGCAACTCTGAAAGATCTCAACTGTGAAAGGGAGTAGAGAGATGACGAGTAGACAAGAGGAGGACATGGATGATGTAGGTTTTTAATGTAGGAGATCATAGAGCAGGGTCATGTGCTGATGGTAAAGGTCCAGTTGAATGAGAGACTGAAATGGGGAAGCACGGGGTCTCCTGCTAACACACGCTGGAGCCTGCTTTCCATTGGCAGAGGAATGCTTCTGATAGGAGGGGAGCAGACAAGGGTGCAGAGATAGGAAAGTCTATAGATTTGGTTATAGAAGGAGAGGGAATGTCTTTTTTCCTTGAGGCATAGTCATCAGTTGAGAGTGAGGGGGAAATGGGAGGAGAGGAAAAGTGAGTATACGATATGCTCCTTAATGATAGTGGGAGCAGGAAGTTACTAAGGAACTGGAGGGACTGCAGCTGAAGAGTGCCTCATTGACGCTGTAACCTTCAGTGCCCCACATGATATCCTAAGAGGTGCTCAATAACTGAATCTTCTAAAAACCAATCCTATACATAGAGGAAAAGGATGAAAGGAAATACAGCAAAATATTAACTGATTATGTCTGAATGCTAGAACTAGAGGTTTTCTTTCTCTATTCTCTATTTTTCAATTTTGAAAAGTAAAGCAGGTATTATAATGGAAATGTTAATCTTTATTTTTCAAAGGGACTCCTCTAACTTTTGGTTCATGGAACTAAGCAGCACGTATTGATGATACTATGTTCAAGAGATAATGTTTATAGCAAAACACTGAAGTAACCTAAATGTTCATTCTTTAGTGGAGAACTGGCAAAATAATTAAGGCACATTAAAATAGTTGAATTCTCTGCAACTGTTAAAAGAAGAGGGGGCACTTTGTTGATATGGAAGTATCTCCAAGATATATGGTTAACAGATAAAAACAAACTAATGAGGGCTGGCCGAGTACCTCAGTTGGTTAAGAGTTAGCTTAAGAGCACAAGCTCTGAGCAACAGGGCCACCAGTTTGATTCCCACATGAGCCAGTGAACTGTGCTGCCAACAGGTGGCAAGATGGCTCAGCTGGTGAGAGCACGTGCGCCTAACAACAAGACTGCCTATTCAACGCAACTAAGACTGAACTCGGCACTTTGAGCTGAGCTGCCACCCGGATGGTTCAGTGGATAGAGCATGTGCTCTTAACAACAAGGCTGCCAGTTTAACTCCCATATGGTATGGTGGCTATGCCCACCCACAACTAAGACTGAACTCAGCACCTTGAGCTGAGCTGCCACCCAAATGGCTCAGTGAATACAGCGTGCGCTCTTAACAACAAGGCTGCTGGTTCGACTCCCACATGGGATGGTGGCTACACCCACCCACAACTAAGATTGAACACAGCACCTTGACCTTAGAGGCCACGAGCTGCCGTTGGGCAGCCAGATGGCAACTGGTGCCCTCCACAACTAAGATTGAAGAACAACAACTTGGTTGGTCCCCTTACCCAATGCCCCACACTGTTCCCCTCCCCCAAATCCCCAATTTTAAAAAAAAAAAAAAAGCTAATGAACAGTACAGTATCTACTATTTCTATAAAATGAGTTAATATTAAGCATAGAATTTTATATAGAAGGATCAACAAAAAGGATGAGGTAGATGTACATATGCTAATGTGGAAACATCTTCAAAATATATTACAAATTGAAAAAAGAGGGTATGCAATGGTGTGTGTAGTATGCTCCCATTTTGTAAAAAAAAAAAAAAAAGTACAAGTGACTATACACATAATTTGCATAATACAGAAACTGGCAAGGGTAGGTGCCTCTAGGAGGGGGCTTTCTTCAAATAATGGTATAGGAAACACTCTCTTACAACCAAGGAGCAACTGACTCAGCTGGGCTGAGCGTCCTAGCTCCTTGGCCCACAGAGTTGCCTACCTCTTCAAGCATCACAATGGAGTCTCGGAGCACTCCTTTTAAACGATGGGTCCGATCTTTATTCTTTTGACCATTTTCTGCTCTTGACACCATCTCAGAAGCTAAACTGCAAGAAAAATACCATCTTAAAAACCAGGGGAATAGCTGCTAATCTTTCATTTCTAGAAATCACAGGTGCTCCATTAATTTGCAAACGAAACAAGAAATTAAAAATATATATATATATATAAATACATACATACATATATGATTACAGAATAGTTAGCAGACCAAAATCTCTAAAACTAAAATTAATTTTTTGCAATTAAGTAATTATTGAAATAACAGGTTGGAGGGGAAAAAACTTACTTTAAAGATTTCTCTTCCTGGAGGTGAAGACGGTAAAAGGACTGAGCAGCATATTCTATCTTTGACAGCTTCAGAAACAGTGTCACATTCAACAAAACCAGCAAGAGCAAACTAGGCAGAGCAGATCATACCTGGTTAGTCTACTCTTCTCCAGACATAAAGCACTGCAAATGCACAATATGCATGCAAAATCTTCCAAAATGTGTATTATCTACACTAGTTTCCAATTATTGTTACTATTTAAGTCAGTTATCTTTACTGTATGAAATAATTACTTTTAAGTAATAAGTGGATGTTGAGACAAAAGTTAGAATGTAACTAGAGTGAAAATAAAGTCTCAGGGTCAGCCAGTTGGCTCAGGTGGTTAGAGAGTGCGGGCTCAACACCAAGGTTGCCGGTTCGATTCCCACATGGGCCAGTGAGCTGTGCCCTCCACAACTAGATTGAAGACAAGTTGACTTGGAGCTCAGTTGCACCCTCCACAACTAGATTGAAAATAACGACTTGATTTGGAGCTGATGGGTCCTGGAAAAACACACTGTTCCCCAATAAAGTTTTTAAAAAAAGAAAGAGAAAGAAAATAAAGTCCTCAGATAAAGCAGGTCCGGAGTGTCTCTGACATCTCTCCTCTATGCTAGGAATCCCAGCCAGTATTGATATGTGACCCTCAGCTTAGAAATCTACAAGGTAAGCTTCCAAGGTCTGTTTTGGGGGGCTTTTTTGACTTAAGCAATTATAAACCCATAATGCTGCACCTAAACAGGAAATGAAGATCAATATGGACTTGGTCTTAGGTAGATCATGGTGTACCTGTTATTCTCAGTGGGAGCCAAAAGAAATTTTTTTAAATTACCATTCAGCAAAAATTTCTTCTAGTTCAACTTAGACAAAGGAAGTACCAAATCCCAAATATACATAAATGGTGTCATATATAAAATGTTACATGCTAAATGAACTTACTCTATTGTAAGTTCACAGCCTTTCAAGTGAATGGATATATTTCTTATTACACATATAATGTAAATATATAGGCGACATCACATTTCATTTTCTGTTAAAATACTGACTTGCCCTTAAAAATATACAGTATTCACCATTACCCATTCAGAAGAGGATCTTTTTAAAAATGAAAACCAAGGTAGTAGCTATAAAATAAAATGTATGAAATTATTATGGCAAAGAAATGGTATATATAATAGATGATTTGGTATATAAAATATTTGATATAAATTTTCTGTAAAGTAATGCAAAAGATCACTGATAATATATTTACTATTCAAAACTGTCATAGCAAATCAACTTAAGCAGAATATGAAAACCTTTTTATAAGACTCAAAGGTACAATAAACATTTTCTATGTTCTGAAATCTATAATTAGAAAAAAACAGCTGATATAAGAATTTCATTCAAAAAAATATTCACCCAGAGGTATTGCCTAGTCAGAGCCAATTCAACAAAATCGGACTACTTCAAGACACACATAAAGCCGGGTAAATAGCAGTAGTCTAAACGTGACTCGCTGAGTCAATTCCTACAGAATATTCTGAGATTCAAATTAACTGCCTCAGTATTTCTCTTCATGTGATCCTTAGATCACATGCATCAGAATAACCCGTGTAGGGCCTGCCGAGTGGCTCAGTTGGTTAAGAGCACGAGCTCTGAGCAACAGTGTCGCTGGTTCGATTCCCACAAGGCCAGTGAGCTGCGCCCGAAATGAGCTGCCAACAGGTGGCAGGATGGCTCAGCTGGTGAGAGCATGTGCTCCTAACAACAAGGTTTCCGGTTGGACTCCCTCATGGGATGGTGGGCTATGCCCACCCACAACTAAGGTTGAACAGGGCACCTTAAGCTGAGTGGCCGTGAGCTGCGACGGGTGGCCGGATGGCGACTGGACTTGGAGCTGAGCTAGGTGCGCCCTCCACAATTAAGACTGAAGAACAACAACTTGGCTGTTCCCCTTCCCCAATTCCCCAATAAAATCTTATATATACAAAAAAAAGAAGAACCCATGCAGTCTGTTTTAAAACACTGATTCCTGATCCCTGTTCAAGACTTAGCGACTCAATCTCTGGAATTGGGGCCAAGAAATCTGCAGTTTAGCAAGTGAATCTTATGTATACTTAAGGGTAAGGACCATTGATTTAATCAAATAGAGTAAAATAGCATTATTGGGATTTCACCAGCTTGCAAATGTAAACATTTCCTTTAAATTATGGAACTTCCCATAAAAACCTATTACGGTAGAAAAAAAATCAGATTAGTTTAAAAAATAAAAATATTTCTTGAATGTGTACTTGATATTCCCTCAAATTTAATTCTTAAAATAATACATCAAAAACTATCAACTGAAGCATATAAAATTACTGTTTTTGTAGACCAGAGTTGGTCAAATAGTGGCAATTTCTATACAATAATACACAAATGCACTCAAATCCTTTTGGAAACTTAAAAGTGAAAGCACAGAAAAACAAATACTTACAAAATACTCATCACCACAATGAGGGCAGTATTATAGCTTTCATTTTCCTTTTTCTTTCCTACACATCAGACACAAAAAAGGCTGATTTAGAATCAGGATTATTACAACCAGTAAAATTTTCATTTAATTTGTAAAGAACTGGGGAAAAATTTTTTTAAATTATTTTTAAAGACAAAGTTATTTAGGGTGAATTCCCTGCACCCTTTTGTTTCTTTTGGTTTCTGAAATCCTGAGTAATATTTAACAAATCTACAAAAATAAAACCTATATCAGGCCTTCAAATTTGGCCTATATTACAAATTAATTTATTCTGAAGTACGCAATTCAATACCTCATGCACGATCTCTAGCTAAGTTCCATCTCTGCAAACAATATTTGAGCTAAGTTTATGTGTACAATGCTTTCCTCCTTAAAAAAGTTTTAAGTCTTCCTCACCTGTTCTCTGTTGCCCAAATTTCTAAATTCCAAAATTAAAGAGCCATTAAGCTTAAACAGTAGATAAATATATTCACACTGAGAAATAAGCCTTAGAGGAGAATTTGATAATGTAGAAGGATGAGAAGGTATTACAGCTTTATAGTTCTGAGAGGGAGGGAATCAAGTTAGTAGAGGCAGGAGGTCTTCAAAATTGAGAGTGAGGATAATGAAAGTCAAATTCCATCTTTGCTGGGCTGGCCCTAACAGGACATAAGGATTAAAAACATATAATTATTGTAGTACATTCAAGGGTAGAAACCAAATGTCTGTAAATGCTGGGCAGGCAATTAATGAGTGAAGAGTCCAGCAGCTGAGGACAATGGTGGTGACTGGTGACCTGGGGAGTGCACACCCTGTCTAATACGGCAGCTACTATTAAGCTCCAACTGATTGTTGCTATGAAGGGATTTGGGTTCAGGGCTATCAGATTTGAGTTTTTATACAAAACTGTCCAATTTTTAAAATACCATGTGGGCCCAATAAAATACTTCTATCGACCATACACCTGTCATTTTGCAACTGCACAAAAGGCATATTCTGCTTCATATAAGTAAACTAAAATCTTTCTCCTCTGTGCCAGGTAACAGCTACCTGTAACATCCCCTTTGGCATCTAAGGCCCCATCTCCAGAAGGACGCTGAGTAGCAAGTTTAGGGACTGCTTCTGCTGTTCGGTTGAATGTTCTCCTTCTCCTCCGTAAGACACTAAGCTTTCCAGGGTCTTCAGTGGACTGATTTAACATAGATTCTTCCATTATCAAATCTGATTCTAAGAAGGAAAAAGAATCATTAGATAGTGGAGAAATCTTCTCAGCTATAAAATACAGGGGGTTTGGTGGTTGTTTTGTTTTCAGTTTTGTTTTTCTTTAAGCCTTGGTAACCTTAACAATTACTTAGGTTCTTATGGCCTAGATTCAAACCTTACTCTTAATGAAAAGCACAGGGATCCCATAATGAGGCTTCATTATTCTAGGAAGAATGGACTGTATTAATAAATGATGGGACCATCAGAGAAAATCTGCCATATGTTATATTAAATATTAATGTGGCGATTTCAGTTATAGAAACAACAGGTACCCATTTATATTGGATCATTAGAAAGATTTCCAAGATAGATTATGGCACCTGATTGTGAATTTCAAAGGAAGGAGTAGCATATAATGGTTCTAATTTATAATAAGGGTTTGCAAAAAAGGAAGCACTAATAAAGAAAATGTGCAAACAACCTAAAAACCTCATTTTTGTCATTTAAGCCTTTTCTTTCACCAGATTTTTTATTAGAAGCTCATTATCCAGTGACAAAACTAATTTTTGAGTTTCACTTTCTTTGCTCCTGATTAGGAGTTTAATAATGAAATAACCAGAGAGAAAAGCAAGGAAATAAAATAATCAAGAAACTAGATGATGATAAATTACCCTGAGTTGACTGACCACCAGTTTTTTTAACTGAAACTAATTATGCTCATATATGTATATACAATTTTTCCTTGTGTATATTTTAAGGAATACCCAAACAGGATAACTATATTACTCCCCCCAGTCTAGTACCCACCTCCACCAAATCCATACACATAACATGATACCAATACTAAATGGGACTGCATAAACCCAGGAAGCTGCGTTGGTAAGAAAGGTGTGGGCGCGAGGTCACTCCTGATATTGTAAGCACAGGTGCATATTTATAATCAAGTTACGCAGTCTCTCGCTGCAGTCAGCTTTCTTGGCTCTCTAGAGAGGCAGGGAATGTGACAGCTCCTAACTGTATGATCTTAGACAAGTCATTTAGTCTCTCTTTGTTTCAATATTTCTTCTTTAGTAAAATGGGAAAAAATAATAGTACCTACTTCATAGGGTGGTAACGAGTTGATAATTATAATGTACATAGAACAATGTCTAGCATATAGTAAGCATCATGTAAGTGTTTGTTAGACCAATGAAAATTAAAAGTTTGAAATCCCAAGTGGAGTAGTTGGAACCACTTCAGTTGGAGCCATTCCAGCATCATCTACCAGTTTCTGCTATGAATCCAAATGAAGAATCCGTCCATTTTGTCAATAAATGTATCTTTACAAAAATAAGTCAAGAAATTTACAAACCAAGCTGTTTGAAATAGTCTTCCAATGAACTCCAGGAATTCTTCTCAATTAAAGATTTAATAATGGCCCATGGTTGTTTTCTGTATTTCAAATCTGTGGAAACTCTAACAGGATAAGGAAAATGTTTATTTAAAGGACAGAATTTAGTTATATTAACATTGTAATTAAATGTAATATTGTAGTCAGTGGACAGCCAAAAGGATTCCAAATCATCAAGATAATACAAGAAAATCTGTTCACTGACAATTTCAAAATTGCTATGCGCTACTAATAATTTCATCAAATTTTTCTTCTACATTCTTGGCATTTTGTTTCTTTGCTTTCTCTAGCCCTGGATTTTTTAAAATTAAATAGCAGGAAAGGCCTAAAATAAATTCTAAAGTTAAAATGCCTTGTATAAAAAAATCTCCAGTGGTCACAAATTAGTTGAATAACTGCATTATAGCTGAGACTAGTCCAAGCATATGATGGCCCATCACTATCTTTAAGGCACCAATATTTCTTATTTCTCATTGCAACAGAGTCATTTCCTGCTCACCATGTGCTCCTCGACAACTCCTAACCCTGTTGCCATTAAACAGGGTCACATGACTACTTCTGGCCACTTGACTGCCAGCGCAATTCTACATCTTTCTCTTCCTGTAGCTCCAGGATGTCAAAGCCTTCATCAGCTTGAACCTTGAGTGAGGAGTCCCACTGCTCCGGTGACCACTGGCGGACATGTGTCATTTGAGCCAAAAATAAAGCTTTGTTGTGTAAAGCTACCACCAAGATTTTAGGATGACTATGGTACCAGGGCACAATCCAGCCTATCCTAAACTAAATCATTCATTTACAAAAGCTCACCTCAGCCGGCATTTCTGTTTTGAAGAGGAGATGATGTAGTATCTGTTCAGGGTATAGAAGTAATCATGGTAAGGGACATCGTGCGTCAGCACTTCTGAATCTAACAAATAAAACTGTGCTTCCCGACTTTCCTTATACAGTGTCTGCCAAAATAAGATAAAAAAAATTTTTTTTGCATGTACATGTTTAATATATCAAATTCCTTGCAAATTTAGAACATATATATTAGAATTCCTTCTCACAAATAACAGAAGACATGAGAAGCTTATAGACAGAGCCAGAAGAGCTCCGTGTTGGCTGAGCAGAAGGGACCTGCACAAATAGTATTTGCTGCCTCTCTGTCATTTGATTGTACAATTATGTTTTTCTTTCTTTTAGGCATGAGGAAGAGAAAGGAACGATATAATCTCTTGCATGTATTATTCGTTTATAAAGAATTTTAAATGTTGCTGTTAGGGAACAATTCAAAATTCAAAACAAAGTAAGGACCCCCTGCCCCCCAAATTCATCAAAGTTTAACAAAACCACCCTTCACCAAAAAAGTGAAGGAAGCAGGCAACCGAACAAAATACTGCTTTCTCTAAACAATATTTGAGGTGGTTGCTGGCCAAATCTTTCTCGTTGTAACCTTACCTTTTCTACCTATCCTCTAAGGTTATCAAAGACTCTCCAATAACAAAATATCAAACTTTTCTATAATATCTGAAAATGTTTTTTAAAAAGTTTTAAGTCCTTTTTAACACTGATGGATAAAAACTACAATAGTATAATTGGTTCAGATATTAACATATATTTTCAAACTATGTGAAGAACAGATACACTATACTTCAACATGAATTGGCCAAACACAAACTCCACTATAAGACAGTGCCATGCTTATCACACAGTAGACAGAGTATTAAAATACAGTCTCTTCCCCATATGTCATAGCAGCCATTTAGTTATTTGATCCTTGACATAATCCTGTAAATCAGATTCCAGTAGTGTTCGTTTTTAAACCGTTTAGAAAAAGTTCAAACACACACACAAGTGGAAATAAAGAATAATGAACACTCATAAGCTCATCAACCAGCTTCAACATTGACTCCTGCCCAATCCTGTTTCATCGGTCCCCCATTCCCACATGCCCTCCCTCCCCCACCATCCTCTGTCTAGCTAGATTACTTTTAAATGATATCCCAGACATCAATATAATTTCATCCACAAACACATCAGAGTGTGTGTGCGTGTGTGTGTGTGTGTGTATATATACATATATATATATATAAATTCTTCAGTATGTCTCTTTAAAAAGTAAATATTCTTTTCTTTAAAATATACCTACAATACCATAATGCATAAAAAATTAATAATTCCTTAAATCTCATAAATAACCTTTTACAGTCGGTTTGAATCAGGATTGGGTTCATATGCCTTTTAAGTCTCTTAACCTGTAACACTTTCTCCTCTCTTTTTGTTCTTGCCATTTACTTGTTGAAATTGTTTTGTAAATTAGTGACTATGACAGGCATCTTCTCTCTTCCCACATGTATGATTCTTTTGAAATACTGACAGAGTAGACATACCTGCTTTTCCGTGGCAGCAGTGCTTTTTCCAGTAAGTGGATTATTAAGGATTATAGTGTAGGTCATGGTTCTCAGTTGATTACCACCAGGTTCCACATTCCAAGGGGTAGATACTACATCTAATCACACCAAACAGAAAACAAGTTAGTTCTAGAATTTTGAAGGGTATGACTTGAAATAGAATCAAAAAGGTAGTTTTTTATTTACTTAAATTTTGATTTTTGACCAGTCCAAAAGTAAAATTAAATGTTAGGCACTCTTCTTATATGTGACATACCCCCCATCTCTGACCTATTTACTTCTAAGTTATTGTCTAGAAATAGACTTTTTCTTTTCTTGAGACGGTAACATTAAAAGGTGGATCATTTGTAGTCTTCTTTTAAAGTCCCCAGAAGAGAAGTATTGGAACCAGCCTTATCAAACACAGACATTCCCATCATTCAGGACAAAACCTTGAAAGACATTTGTCATTATGCAACAATATGACCTTCACCTCAACTTGTGGAGAAATCATGTCAATGAGAAAACATGCAACGAGAAATCATATAATGTTAATGGCTTATCTGCTGAAATTTCTAATCAAGGAGGGAGTGATGAAATATAAATAATTATATAAACTTCTCTATATTAAGAAAGCTATAGGATAACCTCTCTGTATTTATGACAAGATCTTGATCAAAATTCTTTTATTTGTTTAGCAACAACACAAAAAGTGGAAACTCAGAACTCCATCAATATATGAATGGATAAACAAAATGTGGTATATACATACAATGGAATATTATTCAGCCTTAAAAAGGAAGGAAACCCTTATATAAACCTTAGAGACATTATGCTAGGTGAAATAAGCCACTCACAACGGGACAAATATTGTATGATTCCACTTTTATAAGCGGTACCAAGAGTAGTCAAATTCATAGAGACCAAGTAGAATGGTGGTCATCAGGAGTGAGGAGGAGGGGGAGATATAGAGTTATTGTTTCATAGATACAGAGTTTCAGTTTTGGAAGGTGAAAAAATTCTGGAGCAGGACAGTGGTGATGGCTGCACAACAATGTGAAAGTACTTAATACCAATGAATTGTACACTTAAAAATGGCTAAAATGGTCAATTTTGTTATGGACATTTTACCACAATTTTAGAAAATGCTGAGCCTAGGTGATGGGTATATGGGTTCTATTATACTATTCATGCAACTTTTATGAAGATTTATATTTTTTCAAAGTTAAAAATGTTGAATAAAAGGATTTAAAACTGAGCTTTGAATTACAAAAGCAGTGTCATACACTGTAAATAGACTTAAAATAATACATATTTAAAAGCTCCCTAATTTATGGGGCCGGCCGAGTGGCTCAGTTGGTTAAGAGCTTGCTCAAGAGTGCGAGCTCTGAGCAACAGCGGTTCAATGCCCGGACCGAGCTGAGCTGCCAACAGGTGACAGGATGGCTCAGCTAAAAATAAATAAATAAATAAAAATAAAAGCTCCCTGATTAAAAAAAAAAATAGATTGAGTAGTAGCCATTTTTACTGCTGAAATTAGATTAAATTCACAAATAATCGACTATAGAAAAATTTTTCATTAAATTCATATTTTTAGTAATCATTTTATTTTTTTCAATTAGAGTTGACATATTATATTAGTTTCAGGTGTACAACAAAGTGATTAGACATTATATAACTTATGAGGTGATCACCCCAATAAATCTAGTACCCATCTAATACTATATACATAGTTATTACAATATTATTGTATATATTCTTCATGCTATACTTTACATCCCCATGACTATTTTGTAACTACCAATTTGTACTTCTTAATGCCTTCCCCATTTTCACCCATCCCCAAATCCCCATCCCAGCTGGCAACCATCAAAATGTTGTATCTATGAATTTGTTTCTGTTTTGTTTGTCTTTTTGTTCTTTAGATTCCACATATAAGTGAAATCATATGACATTTGTCTTTCTCTGTCTGACTTACTCCACTCAGCACAACACTCTCTAGATCCATCCATGTCATTGAGATGGCAAGATTTCATTTTTTTTATGATTGAGTAATATTCCATTGTATATGCATATGTGTACCACCTCTTCTTTATCCATTCATCCACTGATGGACACCCAGGCTGCCTCCACATCTTAGCTATTGTAAACAATGCTGCAATGAACATATGGATGCACACGTCCCTTTGAAGCAGTGTTTTGGGTTTCTTCGGATAAATACCCAGATGTGGGATTACTGGGCTCTTCTTTGTCTCTTGTTATAACCTTTGTTTTAAAGTCTATTTTGCCTGCTATAACTATTGCTACCCCAGCTTTTTTAAATTTTCCATTTTCATTAAATATCTTTTTCCATTCCTTTACTTTCAGTCTGTGTGTATCTTTTGATCTGAGATGAGGCTCTAGTAGGTAGTATATGTAAGGGTCTTGTTTTCTTATCCATTAAGTTACCCTATCTTTTGATTGGAGAATTTAATCAATTTAAAGTAATTTTGATAGATATGTAGTTATTGCCATTTTATTGGGTTGTCGGAAAAGTTTTACGCATTTTTGCAACAAAAAACATAGAAAAATATGTCATGACTTTTCCAACAACCCAATATTATTCATATTTTTTGTTTTTTTATTTTTTGTCTTAAACAAGTTCCTCTAACATTCCTTGTAATACTACTGGTTTGGTGGTGAGGAACACCTTTAGCTTTTTCTTGTCTAGGAAGCTCTTCATCTGTCCTGAGTAGAGCTTTGCTGAGTAATCTTGGTTGTAGTTCCTTGCTTTTCACCATTTTGAATATTTCATGCCAATCCCTTGTGGCCTGCAAAGTTTCTATTGAGAAATCAGCTGACAGTTTTATGGGAGCTCCCAAGAGAAAAGCAACCACCTCTTTTTCTCTTGTTGCTTTTAAGATTTTCTCATTGTCTATAACTCTTGGCATTTTAATTTTGATGTGTCTTGGTGTGGGCCTCTTTGGGTTCATCTTGCTTGGGACCCTCTGCTTTTCTTGGGCTTGTATTTCTTACTTCCTTCACCAGGTTAGGAAAGTTTTCAGTCATTAATTTTTTTAATAGGTTTTCAATTCCTTGCTCTCTCCTCTTCTCCTTCTGGTACCCCCATGATGCAAATGTTGGTACGCTTGATGTTGTCCCAGAGGCCCCTTAAACTATTCTCATTTTTTTTTTTGGATTCTTTTTCTTTTTGCTGCTCTGATTGGGCATTTTCTGCTACCTTATCTTCTAAATTTCTGACCTGATCCTCTGCTTCATCTAATCTACTGTTGGTTCCCTCTAATGTATTCTTCATTTCAATTGCTATATTATTCATTTTAAAAAGAAGCCTTTGAAACCCATTCTCAAGAATACAGCTTTCATTACCAGGTAACAAGTTCAGAAGATAGCATAATGTTGTGCCGTCATAAGCAGATTATCCCTTTTGGAGGAAGCCTTCTCACTAATTCTAGGTCTAAACAGCAATATGCCCATAACTGTTTAGATTCAAAATTAGCCAGAAGCCTTTGTTTCCCAAAGCCACTTATAAGATCAGATGGCAAATATATTCATCCATACTGAAGCCAGATGTGATATCAGACACTAAATGCAGTTTTGATTCTAAAGACAAACTTCATTTAGTACCAGTGTGGAATAACATGCTAGTCCCTCATAGGCCTTTTCAGCCATAAAAAATAAAAATAGCAGTGCAATATCAACAGACATCATCTTAGAAAATTAAGAGAAGTAATGTCTCCAACTCTTGTGAACTATCAAGTTCTCCAGATAGACATGAATAGCAAGACAATATATAATAGATTCAGAACAGATATAAGTTAAATACAAGCTACTGAGTGAAGAGGAAGATGTCTATCCCTCAGATATTCTACATTTTTCAAACTGGGAGAAGAGAAAAAATAAAGGATTTTTTAAAACTGTGAAATTCTTAATATAACCACAGGACTCAGTTAATAGCTGTCTATTAGAAATCTCTTTGCTACTTTACTATGAATAAGAAGAAGAAATTCTTTTTGAATGTAAAGTCCATATCAATGATATAATCTATGAATATGTGATTATGGTTACATAAAAGTTTCAAATAAATACCATCTAATGGTTAATAATTAAATGGCTCCATTATAAAGTGTAGATTCTAGAAGAACTTTCTCTTTGACTAGGTCAAATGGCTCACCTTATGAGTCTCTGCTGCTGCTATTTTCTAATTTTATATGGCAAGTTAAACCATGTGCTCCCAAAGTTTAGTGAATATCTTGAATTATTTAGGACAAATTCAGTTTCAAAGTAACCATGAGCTTATTTTAGATGTTTACCAAAATAGAACTTGTAACACATAATCAATGAAATCTTTTTTATAAGTATAACTCAATCCCTCCCCGGAACTTTTGTTTTTGGATATTTTCATGGAGGTATACCATAGGCAATGCAATCTCAAATGTATAGCTCCATGAATTTTCACAAAGAAAACACATGTGTACCACTGCCCAGGTCAAGACAGAGAACTTTACCAGCATCTCTGAAGCTCCTTCCCAGCCCTTAACCACCCAACTCTCCACGACAGTAAATATTATGCTGATTGTATATCCATAAATTAGTTATGCCTGTTGTTTTTTTTTTATAAATAAAGGAATTACAGTATGTACTCTTTTGTGCCTGGCTTCTTTTGCTTAACACTGTATTTGTGAGATTTACGCATATTGTTATAAGTAGCAGTTTGCTTTTTTTCATTGCCATATAGTATTCTTTTGTGTGAACATACACAATTTGCTTATCCATTCTCTTACTGGTGGATATTTTGGCTTTTTTTGAGTTTGGGGGCCATTCTAAATAATGCTTCTATGAATAAGAGTCCATGTCATTCAGAGTCCACATGGACCCATTTCTGAAGGACGTACTCCTAGTAGTAGAACCGCGGAGTCGGGAGAATGCGTGTCAGCAGCATTAGGAGATTCTGCCAAACCATACTGCAACATGATTGTGCCAATTTATACTCTGCTACTTCCAGCTGTTCCACACAGAACCATTTAAAATGGGGTTCAAACCAGTTGAACTGCTACATTAATAAATAAATGGAGTTTTAGTTTTCAAAGGGTCTGAATTTAATTGTAGGTAGAATCAGACTAATAGAACAATTATATTATTTACATATGAATTTAACCAAAAGACTTAAATCACCAAAATAAAATCAAAGCCTACTTTTTCCCCCAACAACATAAATCAATTTATATAGGCTCAATCCTCTAAAGATAATAAAATCCTCCCAAATGTATCATTAGATAAGAACACAAGAACCAACCTATTATATTTCTAGACTTGGCAAATCTCTGCATAAAGCGTGAACTGGTGAAGAGCAATTCAAACATTTTCTCAGCACTTATGTGAAAAACACGGTTGATATAAAGTCTTCCACGAAGATCTTTCTCAGGAATATTTTCTGGGGAAACAAAGAAACAAAAAACACATAGAATCAAAAGGGAAGAAACCAAGGAAAGGAAAGGTAATTTCAAAGTTTTGTTTTGTTTGCTTGTTTTTGGTACAAAATAGTTTTAATATGATTACAGTGATCAGCACATTCCAGGGCATGATTAAAACTCTAAATTGGTGCTATATACATATGTATGATATAACTATACATAAGAATACCAGGGATGCCAAAAAAATGTATACAAGTGGACACTTTGGTCAACGTTGCTCAAGCAGTAGTTCACCGTAATCAGAAGTGTCTGGATGCGGATGGTAACCACTTTGAGCACCTCTTGTAATTGCAGAAGTCAAACGTGACTTGTATTCATCTTTTGTTATCAGTATATATTGAATATTACAATTTTGATGCAGTTTTCCTTTCTTAAAATGTGCATACATTTTTTGGCACCCTCTGTATATTAAACTATATATGATCAATATTTCAGTTGTCAACCCAAAATATAGAGAAATAGTTAACTTGAATGATATCCAACTCCCATAATATATTGCTCAAAAGAATATTTCAAAAGTGACAAGGACAAGACTGAGATGTGCAGAGTGGTATCTACCACAGCAATTAGCAGGACCTATTTCTGAATGCTCACACATTCAATAAATATTAATCATGACTGGCTCTAATATCAGCTGCTGCATTCACTTACTTACTAGCCTGAATAATCTTTCAAACTTGACTTAAAGCTGACTCTCCCAAGTCAATTCACAACCTATTCTTAATACCACACATTAAAAGAAGGGTTTCTTCTTTTAATGTGAAAAGTATTCTTCAAAGCTAAATAATGCCCATTGGAATATTACATTTTTCTGGGAACCTGATAATGATAATAATGTTGAAAACTACTGGTTGCAAATGAAGAAGCAATAATCTGCTTACCTCTCCGCATATTCCCTGGAAACATTGTCTAAAATAGCCCATGCTTGTATGGTGCTTACTATAGTCAGGCATTATGCTAAGCACCTTACGAGTATTCACTTTTCCTCACAGCAATCCTGAGATAGGTGGTGTCATCATTTCCACTGTACAGATGAGCAAACTGAGGACTGAGAGAATTGCGGAAGCTCCGTGGCTAATGAGTGACTGAATTGGAATCTGCATTCATTCCAGCTCCAGAGCACACAAACTTAACCTCCACTTTATATTGCCAGGAGTTTAACTTAGAAGAACCAAAAAGAAAAAAGACAGCTAGGAGTAGGAGCCTGGTAAACTAAAGGAAATAAGAGTAAAATAATCCAATATGAAATTTTAATGATTTCAGAACTGGGGTTACTTATTATTTCAAGGATTATGCCCCATCAATACAGAATCAGAACTGTGGCCAAGCTCCCCATATTTCAGAAATCAAGCTCTAAGGATTATCTGTGTAGAGCATCTGTCAATATTACGCCACAGAAAGCAGTCTGGTAAAGTATAAGACAGTGGTCTAAGAATCAGAAAAACTCTTCCAGCTCTGCCTTCGCTGCATTTATTGCTTTTTCTCCCTCATTAAATGATTTGTGTCTCTCTACTTTGCTGCAGATGCAGTGAATTTAGGGATATCAGGCAGATACTGATTTACTTTCTTCCCGCAATAATACCATATGAAGGCAAAAGCTAGTCACTGTAATTTCAAATAGTGGCTTCTTCAAGCATAAAAATAAATCACTGAAACTAGGCAATTTGCTAAGGTTTTGTGAGGTAGCTTTCCAATTAGGCTTGAGAAATAGCTTTTTCTGACAGAGACGCCATATGTATTCATTGTAAAAGTAATTCATATGTTCACCAAGAAAGCAAACACGTACAGATGATCGTATTGATCCTGCTCATTTCCTTCACAGAACCTATCTCAACGTGTAATTATATTTTGGTTGGCTTATTGACGACTTGCTTATTATCTGTATCTCTCCTGCACTGGGCTCTAAGTTCCATGTGGGTAGGGGCCATGCTGATTTTAAACACCAATGTTCATTATGTGCTTAGCACATAATAAGTGTTAAAAAACTATTTTTAATTGAATAAGTGGCTACTGAAAACACTAAACATATCTCAGGGTCTATTTTAATTTATAGGACTTGGAATCTGTAACCATATTTTTTAACTTTTCATTTTGGAATAATTTTAAATGTACAGTGAAGTAAACTGGCTTTATTCCTATTTCTTTCTAGTAACGTCCTTCTCTATATAAGGATCCAACCCAAAATACCATGTTGCATTAGTTATTAGTTATTATTATCCATCTATGATAGTCCCTCCTTCTCCCCGCCCCCTTTTTTTAATGGCCTTACATTTGAAGAGTACTGGTCAGATATTTTGTAGAATGGCTGTCAATTTGGGTTCATCCAAGGTGTTTTCATGATTAGACCGGGGTGGTAGATTTGAGGGAAAAACACTACAAAGGTGAAGTGCCCTTCTCATCAAACTCAGGGGGTACACATACCAACATGACTTACAGTCTTTAATACTTGGTTAAGGTTGTCTGGCAGTCTTCTCCACTGTGGAGTTACTATTTTCCCCTTTCCCCATTTGTTAGAAATGAGTCACTAAGTTCAGCTCATACTCAATGGAAGGAGAGTTAAGCTCCACCTCCCGGAAGGGGGAGTACCTACATATATTATTTGGAACTCTGTGAGGAAGATTTGTGCTTTCTCCTCCATTTATGTATTTATTCATAATTTGTATCCGTATGGACTCATAAATGGTTATTTTCTTATCTAAGCTATAATCCAATACTATAATTATTTATTTTGTTGCTCAAATTTTTTTATTTGGCCATTAGGCGCTCTTTCAGGTTGGCTTCTCTGTCCTTTGACAGGCCTCCCTTTTATTTTAAGTAGTTCTTTATTTTCTGGCACTACAAGAGGCTCCAGCCTCTTTTTGTATATTCCCTATCCCAGCCCTAGAAGCAGCCACTTCTCTAAGGTACCCTGGACTATAATTTTTCAAAAGTAAATTTCTTGTTCACTTTTAAGAAGGAAAAAAAAAATTAACACTTATCTAGATATTTCAATATAATATTTTTATATTTCATTTTAACTCCCTTATTAGATAAATTGTTCTGTATTGTAACTGATAAAAAGTAGAATTTGCAGTATCACTAAAGGAAATGAACAATAATACCTTTGTATGTAAATTTGTCCAAAGAAGTAAGGATATGAAATAAAGTATTTCCACCTGGGATTATTTATGTATGAAATTCATGATATTTTAAAGCCTCCTATCTAAGTAACATCACCAATAGCATTGCTGTAACATATTAAGCTAGCTGCTGGTATTTTAAATGGGGAAAGGAACACAGCTCAACCTAGTAGCAGGTTGCTATTTCCAATAAAAAAAAAATACTATTTCAAACTTATCAGTTTGAAAGTGGCCAGTGGAAATGGTGGGAAAAGTGAAACAGGTAAATATGAAAAAGACATGGACATGAATAAGAATGAAACCATATGTTGACAGTGTTTTGAGGATGCATGAAAAATGTACTAGGTAAGTGCAAGAAAAGCTGGTGATTTCGAGTTTGAGCAGCCAAGGACACAGTTTGCTATATCTTCCATTTTCTAAAAACCAGTAATCTGCTGTCTTTCTGACTCTGATTAATGGCTTTCTGTATACCTGAAGAACCAAGTTCAATTTGAGAGTGTTGTTCAAACTCCTGACTCAGGTAACTGTGTCAGGGTTACCTGTTTTAGTCTCATGGTGCTTTTCTGACATGTTCGACTATTTCACATCTTTTTCTCTGGCTTTCCCCAGAGGTCTGCTTGTCCTCACCTTTATTACTTAGTAAGCATCACCTAATATTTTGATCCTGTTCTTTGCATGACTTTGCCTCTAATTCATCTTGTTCTGTCAGCTATAGATCATGGATTCCAATTTTGCTATTCTTATGCACCCATCCCCCGCCGAATCTTTGCCTAACTTAGCTTCCGTTCTTCGGATAAGTGACTTTGGTCAGGGAACCATCAAGTTCAAGATCAGTGTCACATCAAGTTCTGCCCCAGCTATACAAAACTAAGTTTAACTTCTGTCATGTGACACAGCGCAGGTGTCTCATGACATCAACCAGTTTGTCACATTCCACTCAACGCTCTCCCTCCTGGGGCAAATGCTTCCCAGACTATCCAAGGCATGACAGAGCAGGGCAGGTGGAAGAAATTAAATCCTGATAGCAACAGAAATATTATCTCCTTGAAAACAGCCATAATTTCCTTGTGCTTGTAAATATGCATACAGTATGTCAACTCATCTTCATTTGCCAGGAAACTCCCAGCATCTTCTGAGATGCTCTGACCTCCTCCCCCAAACTGGCCAAGTAAGTCAACAAGCTGAGGAAAGTCTACCAGCCTCAACCCTCAATAAAGTTCTGTAGCTTATTCTGCTGAATTATTATATATTAAAGTTTCAAGATAGCAATATGGTTTAACAGACTAAAAGACAATGTTTTGGATTTTGTTCAGCAGCTGGACGCCAAGAACCCATTTCTGGAAGTACAGAAATACCCCTAAAAAGGATACCCTTCAATCTTACTTGGTTCTAAACTTCCTAGTGTAGAGTAAGAACATTAAAAAAGGAGCCAATCAAAGGAGATTCTAGGCTTTCCCTATCTGGGCTTCAGTTAAAACTCCACATCAAAGGGACCATGCTAGGAGCTATCGCAGGTCCCTCTGTGAGGTTATTTCACAATGCTCTGCTTTGTTGATTCCTTGCAAGTTTCCATGGGTCTAGAGTGAGTCTTTACATCAAAATAATCCAGCCCCCTCCCCTGCCAAATAGTACAGCCTACAGGTGGTAGAAAAGAAACCCTCTCATTTTCTCACTCAAGCTGCTCACAACAGATCGAAATACTATCATTTTAAATAAAGGGATGCTTGGTTTAAAGTAATCTGCCATCTACCTATCTCCCTCTAAATCCCCACACACATTTCCAAATTTCCTGGGATGATTTACTTCTTTTGATCGTTCCTATTGCATCCCCAGTTCACACCTTCATAGCCTCACAACGTTCAGAAACTAGAAAACAGATTCATTATAATACCCACTTAATACGTATGATAAGCCCTAGACTTTGGAACCTGCTTAGGGAAAGCAATAGGAATACTGGCTTTGTTATCAAATGATAATCTAATAATAATAATAAAAAACTCACCCCACGCACCATAAAGAAAACCTGCACAAACAGAAGGCTGAACGTTGTTACATAGAAGGTCTTACTGCTGTAAAGCCAGTCTTTAAAGAGGAGCCAGCAAGAAGCCACATGTGATCAGGGCTCATATGTAATACAGCAACTACATAACTACTGGCTATGAATTCAGCTTATATGAGTTTTAACGTTATCATTTATGCAACTTAACATTAACGTTAATTTTATAGGAACTCGGGGCGGCAGATTATCTCAGTTGGTTAGAGCTCAGTGCTCATAACACCAAGGTTGCAGGTTTGATCACCAAATGGGCCACTGAGTTGCGCCCTCCACAACTAGATTGAAAACAACTACTTGACTTGGAGCTAATGGGTCCTGGAAAAACACACTGTTCCCCAATAAAAAAATAAATAAAAATTTTATAGGAACTCAATAAGAAAACCACTTTTGAAGCACAATCCTTATAAGGGAGCAAAGAAAAAGAATCCTTGTTTTGGAGTCACTTACCCATCTGGCCACTGGGTGCCAGAGTAGATCTTCCTAAAGTCAGAGGTTCGGCCAGGCAGGGGATGATAATTCAAACCCGCTGCCTACCGGTGCATGAAGAGTAACAACAGTAAGAGTCTGGTCATTCAAGGGGCTTGAGCCTTTAAAAAAAACTTCCTCTCGACTGTCTTTTCAAAAGAACTCAACAACTGTCTTCTTAATGCATCCTGTGGTTTTTAGGAACTAGTGGATTTTCATTCATGTTTTTAAGAGTGTGGATTTAGTTTTCATTAAAGATACATCAGTGTTCTCAAACCGAGGTCAAACCTAATTTGGATTGGGTTTTCATGGACTTGGTCTTGGTTTGGTTTTGAATTCGGATTTCATTTTAGATTTGGACTTGATTTGGATTTTATTTAGATTTGACTTGGATTTAGTTTTGGTTTTCATGGATTTGGTTTACATGATAGAGAAAGATACAGAGGTTCCCAAACCAGGTCTAACCTGAACAGTAACTAGACCAGCAAATATTATCATGTTGTACAGATCCAAACCACTGTTACTAACATGCTTAGCACTTTTGGTAGGAAAGCAGGTAGAGCAAAAATCATCGGCATTGCTCCCGTTCCTGAAATTTGAAAGTAGCCACTAACCTGCATCTTTCCCAATGTCTCCCCACTTCAATGTCAATAATTTTACAGTTAAAAAAAGATTCCTTAAAATGCCCACTTAAGTATGACAAGTCCCAGGTTACTGGTACTAACTTAGAAAAAGTAGAGAGAACGTGATTTGCTATAGTTTCCTTTTAGCAACTGATTTTCATTTTTATTACATTCTCTACTTTTTAATCTCTGCATCTCTCTCTTTTGTGGTAGTTAACAGAAAGCAGTACGATTATAATGTCTATAATACTAAGCAGGTTTTTATAAAAATTTGTTTTTCCATTGCTAATATTCCATCTCCACTGACTTAAGGCTTGGAATTTAAAAGCTAAACGTAATGGAGATTTTCAAATTCCAGGCTTCTGGAAAGCAGAGCTGGGTTAGATTTAGCAGTCTCTTTCCCCTATTTTCTATTAACTCCCATCCATTTTTGGTTCTTATAGAGTGAAACTGTATCTAATGTAACTAAATTTTCAGTCTGCACACACCTAGAACAAAGATAAATATTGAAAGAAAACTGAAACTTTATTTAAATTTTTAAGAAATTCTTTACCTTCATCAACTGAATCTGAAGTGCTGCTTTTGTCCAGAGAAAGATATTCATTTTTATTCAAGTCCAGAGATTTCGATGGCACTCTGCTTAGCCTCTTTTCTGAAGTGAGTAAAGGACTCTTTTTGCTCTGTTTCTCGCTTTGGGGTTCCTCTTTCCTCAACTCCTAAAAGGTAAACAGTCCAGTTTAAAAACCAGATTATAGGCTTAGATTTTACCATGAGATCTTTAATAATAAAGACACTTTGAAATACTGCTCTTTGAAAAATTTGTTTGCTATGTGTGTATCACATTTTTATTTTAGTTTGCGAAACATTGGTAGATAATATATATATATCATTCTAGAGTTACCTTCTAAAACAGTAATGAACAATAATTTTATGAAGAACATCATATAAAAGGAACTCAGACAGTTAACATCATGTGAATCACTTAAGCAGAAGGGAAAGGGGGCAGAAGACAAAATAATGGAACATTTATTTCTTTGGGGTGGGCCAGGGAGAGGGAAAACCCAGTTAGTTTCCCCAGACAATACCTGCCCAATAATCTCAAAGAAGAAAACTTACCCATCTCTCAAGACCAGTAACTAAAGGGGAAAGAGAAAGAAAATACAGAGATAAAAGTCACATAAAGGTACAGTGGAAGAGAGAAGATTAAAAGGGAAAATTAATTTCACTATAAACTCGTAAGAACACAGTTGTCGTTGCTGTTAAGGGACTAAGATAAGAGATTGGCATTGAAATATATTCAATATATGATTCTATCTATACTTTCTGGGAATGGTTTAATAAAGATATGTCATTTCTATAATAAATTTAATACTAGGCATTAAAGAATAAATGCTATTGGGGCTGGCCGAGTGGCTCAGTTGGTAAACAGCACAAGCTCTGAGCAACAAGGTCACCAGTTCAATTCCCACATGGGCCAGTGAGCTGTTCCCGAACTGAGCTGCCGCTGAGCTGCCAACAGGTGGCAGGATGGCTCAGATGGTGAGAGCACATGCTCCTAACAACAAGGATGCTGGTTCGACTCCCGCATGAGATGGTGGCTACGCCCACCCACAACTAAGATTAAACATGGCACCTTGAGCTGAATGGCAGCGAGCTACCTACAGGCAGCTGAATAGCAACTGGGCTTGGAGCTGAGCTTGCTGCGCCTTCCACAACTAAGACTGAAGGACAACAACGTGGCTGTTCCCTTCTCCCAATTCCCCAACACTGTTCCCCTTCCCCAATTCCCCAATAAAACCTTTAAAAAAAATCAAAAAATGAATGAATGAATGCTATTGATATATTAGTATTCAGGAAGAACAGTGTTATAATTAGGGTTAATAGAACAGTGTAAAATCATAAATGATACAGCAAAGGACTTTCTTGCATTGTTTGTGTGTAAGCAGTTAAAAGAGAGCCAAAAGCACAGATACACTCCTTACACTTCCAGTCCCAAGAGATCTTTCAGCAGCTCTGAACAGAAGCACCAGGGAGGACATGTGCTTCCATCAGCCACTCAGAAAGCAGAATAACAACTGGGATCCAGTACACAATTTATTAAAGCATTATACTATCCTAGTCAGAGGACTGACTCTTCAAGCAGAGATTATTGCTAAAATCAAGACTTGATTTATTTGAAAGTTTCACACTGCAAAGCAACATGCTTATTTAGCTGACCCAGGGGTCTTTAACAGGTGCTAAGTAGAGTAAGTTTCCACAGATTTCTCCTTTTGTTTCTAGTTAAAATATAGTTCCTATTATAAAGAATATAGATAGATACTTATAGGAAAAGTAACAGTCACTATCTTTGAGTGATTGCCACCTGGACAATTTTTATCTCTTTGTACACTTTTCTGTATTTCCTGAATTTTTACAAAAAGTATCAATTTTATAACTTAAGAGAAACCTCAACACAAACAAATAAACAAAAACTTATAGACACAGACAACAGTTTAGTGGTTACCAGAGGGAAGTGGGGAGGGGGTGGTAGAAGAGAGTAAAGGGGTCAAATATATGGATGGAAGGAGAACTGACTCTGGGTGGTGAACACACAATGTGATATGTAGATGATGTATTACAGAATTGTACACCTGAAACCTATGTAACTTTACTAACCAATAAACTTTAATTTAAAAGAAAAAAAAAGAAAAATTTTAAACATAAAAAAAAAGAGAGAAACCTATTTTCATCTTGGAAAAATGTTACTTCTGACTTTTTGTTGGAAGTAACAGTGAAACAAAGTAAGTGACATATGATAGTTGTTGACATCTGAGAATCTCACCATACTGCTCTAATATACAAATAAAAAAGGACCAAGCTTCTCTATTGCTTATATTCCACAGCCTGACAACAGCTATACTAAACACCAATGAATGTATAATCAATCTTAAAACATTAAATTATTCCTCTGCATTCCATTCCCTTTCCTTTACACAACACAAAATCAGATTGGGAAAGATATATGATAGATGCCTGAAACAACTGATAAGTTGGTGACCTTTCACACAAATACAATCTGTTTCAGTGCTTTCCCAGCATTTATTCACAGGAGATGCCTGGAGCTCCATGAAAGAAGGTAGAAAAGGTCCATTGCTGGCCACATACAGATTCACCTTCAATTATAATAGCTTATGGTTACTGAATACTTAATGTGTACCAGGAACAGTTCAAAGCACATTCACATATATTAATTCATTCAATCCTTATTTTAAAAACCCCATGGGGTATCACTGTCCTCATCTTCTAGTTGAGAAAACAAAGGCATAGAAAAATTAAATAATTAAGTTAACTTACTTAAGGTCATACAGTTAGCAAGTGGCAGAGGTAGGATGCAAAGCTGGTGTTCTCTCAGCTAAGAAATCCAGCTGTAGTCCCAACCTTGTACCCCCAATCAGAACAAAAGCTCTAGAATAAGCGCTCTCTTAGCATTCAGAACATGGTCTCTAAATACCATTCTGCACTGAGAACTATGGCTCATTAGAAAAACGGCGGATACCAAGTCTGGGACAAAAAATGTACAAGGTGTGTCTGGGACAGGTTCTTGTATCAGAAAGAAAGGAAGCCATCAAAAATTACTGATCACTTCAAAAGGACAAAGGAGCCAATCTGAAAGGGAAATGGCAGAAGGGACAAACTGAGTATAAAAAATAAATAATGACTCCAAGTGATAGAAACTCATGGAAATTTTTTTAAAAATAGATGGGCTTATAATGACACTTGAAAAAATAAAGGAAGAAACTAACTAATTTAACTGTGAAACCTGGTAATTAACTGGATATGCCTGCTTTAGCAGTCAGCTTAAGAAGCATCTCTTGTTACTCCAGCGCGCTGCTCAGGGTTCTCATTTCCCCCTTCAAAACAGATTCTTTCTACCATAGCAGACCCACTACCTACACTGGGAATAATTCTGCTAACTATGAATTTCTCCATCTTATATTTTTAATGATCTCTATCCCCTTACAGACTGATGCTGTCTGGTAGCTCTGTACCATATCCAGCTCTGAACAGAACCACATGTGTATATAACATCTGCTACGTACAGGCTTGAAACTACTCCTAAAATAAAGGAGCAACCTGATATCCTAAGTTTAAACATTTGGTATATTGTATTCTTATTGGATCTTACATTATGATGAACACATGGCAACATCACGTATCTTTAAATGGAGGAATCATACACTGACCTTTTTTGGTAGATTTCCATCATTTGACTCTGTTTCTGAAACCCCATTTATTGATTCACAGATAAAACTCGTTGACTTGGACAATTTTTCCTCTCTCTCCCCACAGTCATCCAAGCTGCTTCTTTCCGTACTTCTGTAAGAAGCACATCATTACAGAAACATAAACAAGGTCACTTTCACACAAATAAGTAATTCAGTCTCCTCAGAGGTCTTTTTCTATTATAAAGCATTTTGACAACAAATGGTTTTTTTGTAATGTAACAAATAAGCCTCTACTTATAACATGCTTAAATCACATGCTGTCTTCTTAAATAAAGTTGACTTTATTTCTGAAAATAAGATATTCTCATATGAGATTTTATAAATTTCAGAAACCATTAAAAACTTAACCCAGTACAAGTGGGTGCAACAGCAGCTAATAAAGTGAATACTGCTGGTTTAAATGTCAGTTGTGGACAAGCACAAAGCTGCAAATGGTGCAGGGTGGGTGTATGAGTTGGGTGCCAGTCAACATCAGAAGGCAGTTTTCTTTTAATCTCCTTGCTTCTGATTCAGTCCCAGCTGAGATGGCAAATTCTCCCCAGAAGCGGAAGCGCCTGATATCTGAGCGGAGAGCCCACAAATTAGTCCATGCCCCCCTTACTGCTTTTCTCATTGCTAAGAACAAGGTTTAAGGAACAGCTTTCAAATGGTCACAGGGACAAGATTACAACAATTATCCTGGGACCCGCTTGTCCTCTCTCAGGGAGCAAAGAAAAAGGAAAGTCTATTAAAAGTCTATAAAAGGAGCACAATTGATCTAATTTCCAGTGCTCAACCTCAGTGAGAAATTGTTATTTCTCATGTGATCATTGCAACGTATAGACTTAAAGCTTTTCTAAAATAAAGTAGCAGCCTGACATCTTAAGCCATACTACCCTGAGGAAGGAATAGAAATACTAAAGGACCTTTCAACTCGATTCTACTCCACCCAAATAATGCTTAAATCTGCAACGAAGTCACCCTGGCCAGGCGGAATGGCAGGGCTCCGAAGGGACCAAACAAGAAAATGGCTCCTTGAGACTACCCACCACCCGAGTGTCCGAACTTAACGATGTTAAGGATGGAGTAGAGTTGTGGAGAAATAAAGAAAGAAAAAAAGGAGGAGGGAGAGTGAAGGAGAGATTAAAAATGAAGAGAAAAAAAGATGGAAGAGCTGGGGAAATAAGGGTTTGAGAGAGACAGGCTTCTTCCAGAGACTGGAAGAACGGAAAAGGAGAAGAGGGAATAAGGAGACGAGGGAATAAGGATCCCGCCACATCTTTACTTACAAAGCACTCAATCACCAGAAGAAAACAGCAGCTTTTCTGGTGACCTCAAGAAGCTGGACTTTAGAGTATATAAAGCAGCTGGTCAAAAACATTCCCTCTTTCCTTTTTCAAAGACTAGAAACTGTTTGAGTTGGCAGAAGGTCATCTAATTTAACTGCCTCATTGCACAGATCAGTAAACTGAGGATCAGAAAGGCTACGGGATTTGCTTGAGGTTGCTCAGCTACTTGGTGGCAAAATCCAGACTAGAATCTAGATCTTCTTTACCACAATCCAAGGCTCTCTGCATTGAATCATTGCTTTTTGACCCAACTCCAGTACCTGAGAGAAGCTAGTAAGCTTTATAGAGAGAGCAATACAATGGAAAATTTTAACTTTATAGAAAACTAATAAAATATGCATGTGTAACGATGTAAAAAAGACTAAAATATTGATGCTTAACTGAAACACTATAAATAGGATCAGCATAACTAGAGAGTAAAAGTGTACATACGTCAAGACTTTCAAAAGATTTCCGTATTAAGATTTACTTGCCATATAATTTTTTAATAAGTTTTAGTAAGGTATAATTCACATACCATAAAATGTACCCCATTTAGAGTGTATAATACAGCAGTTTACAGTGTTGTGCAGCTATCACCACTATCTAATTTTAGAACATTTTCATTACCCCAAAAAGAAACCCTGTACCCATTAGCAGTCACTCCCCATTCTCCCTTACTCCCTGTCCCTAGCAACTACTAATCTACTTTCTGTGTCTACGGATTTACTCATTCTGAGCTCCATTTCCTATAAATGGACTCATACAATATGTGGCCTTTTGTGCCTGGATTCTTTCACTTAGCATGTTTGTTATAGAATTTTAGTGTATTAGCCTCAGTTGTTTTTATTGCTATGAACTCAATTACTATTGGACAAAATGCACTTTTGCTCATAAAGGTTAATAAAAATGTCCACTCTTCCAAATGAATTCCCATCAGTCAAAATTAATCTCTCTCTACTCTGAATTTATCACATTAACATTGTTCTTTTTGGCCCTTCTCATTTTCAACCTTGTATTATTGATATAATTATTTGCATTCCCCACAGTACTATAAGCTCTTTTCATTAATGCATTCAGGATTTATTAAGTGCCAACTACATGTCAAGCACTATGATAGGGTATCCTTGAGGAAAAGTCACATTATCGTTGTATCCCTCAAAATACCTACCAGCCAATTTACTTTATGGTTATCTACATGCAGAGAGATTTCACCAGGTACTTCTCCAGGCCCTTAATAAAAAGGTTTATGAAAGCCACGCTTTAAGCAAATCCCAGGTGACACAGTTACAAAGATATATTTCCTTGTATGTCCTGTATTTGCTTACCAATTTAGCAAACTATTCACTGACCTCACCTTTCACTCCATTCCACTACAGAGAACAGTAGAGGTCAATTCAACCAAGGGTGAAATAATAGAAATTCTGAAATTAGTCAAGTTTAAAATAATTCTTTGACCAATGATTAATAAATCTTGACATTCCAAAACAGTTTGCTGTACCTTGCCTGTATATTATCTTCAATCGAAAGGGACAAGTTTTCCATCTCTTCAGCATTTAAGCCCAGCTCAGTGCCATAGTTCTGCTGGAGCAGCTGCCAGAATTCCGGTCTGGTCAAGCTCTACAATGACAGCAAACTTATGCTGAGTATTGGAAAATGTAAGAGCATAACATAGTGATTCAAACGTGAATTCTGAAGTAAAAATGATGTGCTGTACAACTTCTAGATGTGTGATTTTGGTAGTCATTTGACCTTTCTAGACGTGTTTTCTGTAACTATAAAAAAAATGGGTTAACAAAACTTACCTGACACAGTTGATACTGGAATTAGATGAAATGATGATTTTAAAGTGCCTAATATAATTACTACTGTAAATGGGAGGAAAGATGTTTAAAATTTTCTTTTTATAAAATAGTTTGTCCATAGTTTCTGGCAATTACTAATGTGCAATTTAAATTCTGCAATCCAACCAGCCTGCCGTCACCACCGGGTCCCCACTCAGAGTTTTCACCCTCAATTCAGAACCCATTCTCTTTAACCTACAATATAGCTGAATATTTTAACCATTTTAAAAAACTTATATATCAGTAAACTTTAAATTATATTTTCCTAAAACATAAAATGCAAGACGCTGGAATTCAGAATATTTCTTTTGATTTATTTTTAATAAGCCCAGCTTGTTCTTTCTTGGTAGGTATCATATCAGTGTTAAAATCATTCAATACAAAAAACTCATACATCACATCGCAACACAAAAACAATAATAGTATGATAACTGATGGTCTGATTTCTAAAAACATTATAGATGGTTAATCACATGATTAAGCAAAGTAGAGGAAAGCAGCATTAATACTTGAAGCAACTACTGGCAAGCTTCTTTATCTCTCATTCATTCAACAGAGGTTTATTCAGAACTAGCAAATGTGTATCACTGCACCACATGCTAAGGAGAATAAAATGCTCTCAAACCACTTACAATATACTTAAAGAAACACAGGAGACTCTTAAGTAAAATTAAAGATGACAAGCTATAATATTATTATGTACTTAAGTAATGGTGGAATCAACACAGTAATAAGCAATATTACTGTGGATTAGGGTGATCAGATAAGGCGTCACATTGGAGAAGGGTCTTCAGCTGCGCTGAAAGGACATGAATGGGGGAAATGGAGAAATGAGAAAATTTGGGGAAAGGACAACCAACATACAAATATAGAATAAATACATGAAGAACATAAGCAATATTTGTTTTAAAGTCAGTAATAATAAGCGATATTTGTTTTAATAGTTTATCAGCAAAATTTTAGAGTAAAATTTTAAGTTGGGAAATAGTAGGAATAAATATATATATAAAGATTTAATGGGGCCACACATACACATGCCTTGAATTCCTCCCTGATATTACTCCCTATGACAAATACCACTTCCTTTTTACTTTCTCCTTATTTCTTTTCTCTGTCTAGTAGCTATGGTATCTTTGATTGTTACACTACACTCGATGACCTTTATTGTACTTCATGAAACTTCAAAGAGATTAAGAACAAAATTTCTGCACTTTAGATCACTGGTTCCCAACACTTTAGATCACCGGTTCCCAATTTGCCATGCCCAGACTACTAGGATTCTACAAAAGTAGTTGATGAAAATTCAGATATTATTATCAGTATTTCAAAAAGTCAAATATCCAAATAGTTACTTACAATAAAGTTATTCAAGCTAAGTAAAATGTCAGGCCTCTTTGTTAGGGGTTGAATTATATTAATCCAGAGTGGTTATGTTATGCTTTTAAGAAATTTTCAATGGAAATAATGTATAACTAATAAACAACAATGTTCTAACATTTTATTACTTAATATACACCACTTATTTGGTGGACAAAAAGTCTTTTGAAGCACAGTGTCAACAAGAAGAAAAATAAAATAAGATCACTAGTGGTAGAGAAAGTTAAGGAACCACTGTCCTTGACCCTAAAGGTAGCCTACACATTTCTTTTTTGATTTTCACTCTGGAAGAGCCATTTGTGAACTTTTTGTCATAATAGCAGATAGCTTACACTAATAATTAACTCAATCTTCCAAAGAGATTATCTTTGAAATACTTTTAGTGTCATAAATGGATGGTTAACATCATAAAAAAAAACAGCAATACGTTTCAATATAATTCTTGTGGAAGATTAACTTTTTATAAAAACTCTGCTGAAATAATAGATATTACACTATACCAAAAACTAACTAAGGCAAGTGGAGAAACCAATAATAAATATTCAGACACCTTCCTAAGTGAGAAAGAAAAAAAACTTATAAGTAAAATATTACCAACAAAAATACAATTTTACTTGACTATATAAATAAATGTTTTAAATATATTACCAGATGTGATCAGAAGTTAACAGAAGGGTAATTTTAATATACTTTAATCTATTAATTAAAAAATATGTATATATAAAAGGTTAATGAAAAACAAAACAGAACTCATTTAACTCACCAGCTAATTTGTTAAAAATGACATTTTCTTCAAAGTTGACCAGAAGTCATAAAAATGTGGTTATTTACAGCCACAGTGAAGATTCAAACATTCAAACATACATCCAGATTGTTATTTATTGCTCTCTTAAAAATAAGCCGCAGAATCAGGATTAAATAACCTTAAAAAAAAACAACCTCAATTTTAAACAAAGGCTGACCACCTACCTGCCAACAATGGAGAGTCGCCCAGTTTCGGCCTGCAGAGTACTTTAACAAAATAAAGATGAACCAAGCAGTAATCAGATAAGGCTCAAAAGTCTGAAGATCAATTTCTGGCCCAGAAAGCTTTGTATTCTCAGTATGCTGCAAAGTGTTTATCCCGAAGCAGAAGCTGAGTTCCAAATATTTAATGACAACTATGTAAAATCACTGCTTCAATCTTCTAGTTTTGTTATGAGAAGTTTCCCTTATGAAAGACAAGTTCTATTGTAGTTTAAAGCACATTATTTGCCACTTCCTGGTTTATGGTATCAACATTCTTTCCAAGGTGGCAGGTCAGAATGCATAATTAGAAGTAATACCTCACTCTACAGGTTCCTAAGCCACGCCTACTAGAAGAGATAGGTAAACAGGGTTTTATTAAAGGGACAGGTCCCAATTTCTTCAGTGCTACACACAGATTAGAAACAAAATTCAAATGAAAATATCTTCCTTATGCTTAATTATGTAAAATGCCTGTTGTAATATTATTTTAATCTCATTTTAAAAATTAAATATATTAAGGGTTAATTTTTCTTCTCCATGCTAATACTTTTCATTCAATTCTAGCAATGGCATTATTACTTCTTCATGTACCACTTCTTCAGTACTGATGTAGCAGTCCCATCAGACTCCTGCATTAACCCTTTACAACTATCAAAGATTCAATCTCGAGGATCATAAATGGAATGTCAGGAAGTAGCAGGAAGAGTGAGCTAATCAAATAGAGCAATTCTAGTAAGTACTCAGCGCATCTTTCATCACTGAAAAGTTTACATCTTGATTACTCAATAATTCTTTCCTTTAAAAATATTTTTGGGGTGACCGGTTAGCTCAGCTGGTTACAGCGTGGTGCTGATAACACCAAGGTTGCTGGTTCGATCCCCGCATGGGCCACTGTGAGCTGTGCCCTCCCTAAAAGAGTCAGCTATGCCATTGTGGCATGAAAGCGATATGTAACCAATGACCATGGCTGTTCCCCAATAAAATTAAATATATATATTTGACTTTATTCAGAATAATTTCCTATCAGAGACCTGGACTACAATAAACACTATAGAGAGTCTCATCTACCAGTTCCAATTTATTTTCCAGAAGAAAAGTGTTCCTCTAAATGAAAAATCAAAGCTTGCTCTAATTTCTACCTAGTCATTCCATTTAATTTAGTAAGATATGCAGACATGGCAAATGCTACTTGATGAACTGAAAGGATCATCTGAGCAGAAGAGGAGTGGCCAGCAAAAAAGAAAGAAGGAAATACCAGAAAGGTAAAAAGAAATTCCAGAAAAAATGTCATGGAAATAAAGGGAAGAAGCTGTTGCAAAAATAGATGAATGTGCAATCGTGTGAAATGCTGCTGCAAGATCAAGTAAGATAAACATATGTAGGGAGCATGCAAGCGTGCAGAGGAGTGAAGCAGCCTGGCAAGCCAGTTCACCTGACTAACACTGATAGTGGGGGAAAACAGAGAAAAGAGAAGAAAACAGTGGGAAAGTGGTAAGCAGCCAGATCACGAAAAGCATCGTATGCCATGCTAAAGAATATGGGGTTTACATTGTCAAAATATAAAAAGCCACCTACTAGTTTCACATAGAAAAGTACCAAGTTCAGAACTGTGTTCTTAAAAGATACACTTTTTATGGGTAGTTATCCAAAGAATATGAAAACACTAATTCAAAAAGATATACGTATCGTTATATTCACTGCAGCATTATTTACAATAGTCAAGATATGGAAACTATCTAAGTGTCCACTGACAGGTGAATGGATAAAAAAGATGAGTTGTGTGTGTATATATATATATATATATATATATATATATATATATATATATATATATATAGGCAACGGAATACTATTCAGCCATAAAAATGATGAAATCTTGCCAATTGCAACAACATGGATGGATCTTGAGGGCATTATGCTAAGTCAAATAAGTCAGACAGGAGCCGGCCAAGTGGCTCAGTTGATCAAGAGCTCGCTCAAGAGTGTGAGCTCTGAGCAACAGCAGTTTGATTCCCGGCCTGAGCTGAGCTGCCGCTGAGCTGCCAACAGATGGCAGGATGGCTCAGCTAAAAACAAAACAAACAAACAAAAAAACAAATAAGTCAGACAGAAAAGAACAGAAATTGCATGATTTCACTCATTTCTGAAATATAAAACAAATATTTAAAAGTAACAAACAAATTAACAAAACAAAACAAACTCACAGGTACAAACAACAGAATGGTGGTTACCAGAGGGACAGAGAAGAGAAGAGAGGGCAAAATGGTGAAAGGGGGTCAAATACTCATATATGGTAACAGAAGGAAACTAGACTTTTGGTGGTGAGCACACAATAGAGCATACAGGATCAAAATATAATGTTGTATACCTGAAATTTATATAATGTTACTA